TTTTTTCTTGACTAATAATGCAGGTGCTGACCAGGGGGATTTTGAATGCGATATTATTCCATGATCTAATAACTCATCAATGATTTCATTCATTTTTTCTCTTTGAGCATAGGGTATTCGATATGGAGGTTGGTATATGGGAGAAACATCTCCGGTATTGATTTCGTGTTCCACGACTTGACAATATCCCAAATCATAATCGTGAGTGGCAAAGACATGTCGATATTTGTACAAGAGGTCTAATAAAGGCTGTTTTTTCCCTTTTCCGATGTGGGACCAATTGAATAATTGACTGAATTTTTCTCTGGTAAGATCCAGGAGTAGAGGATTTATTGATAGAGCAGGGCTTTATGGGAGATTTGTCTTCTACTGCTCTTAAAAAGATTCCTTCACATTTGCCTTTCGCTATTTTCCTAGGTTGGGTGGAAAGGTTAGTTATATGGACTGGTACTTGTCCTCCCTTCATAGTTTTTGCTAGGATATCTGTTCCTACGACCCCCTCCTGGCTAATAACACTGGATTCGATAACTCCGATTTTGCCTTTTTGTCTTAACCCCGATATATTGGCCATCATAATTATTTTGGATCTCGGGGGAAGATTACAATCCTCCAATAAGAGGACATCTCGAGTTTGTTCGGGATTAGAATTTTTCTTTGGCTATGGGTGACTTTAGTTGTTGATCGATTAAGAATCGAGTAACCTTTAGACTGGCTCTGTGTGCCTTTACAAGGTCGGTTTTTCTCTTCTGGCTTTAAAATATATGATTTGTGAGCATCAGAGTTTTTCCGAAATGGAATTTCCTCTCCCCTTGGGAGGGTTAATGTTTCTCTTGCTAGATTAATCATCAACTGTTGGGTTTTTATAATATCTCTTCCTAGCAGTCCATCAAAAGGATGTGTAATCTGATCATCCACGACATAACATGAATGAGAAAATTGCAAAGGTCTCATATCAAAATGAACCTTGATGATAGGTGGTTATTCCATGGCCCATAACACTTTGGAACAAAATCTCTCCTTTTTTCTAATTAAGTTCTACACCAGCTACCTTGTGAACCAATGATCGGGATAGAAGCGTGACTTCAGACCCTGTATCTATAGCCAGTCGAGCCGTATATCCGTCAATTTTACACAATAAACTAAGTTCAGAATCCCGGCCTAGTGCTCGGATTCCTCCTTTACCTTGAGACATCAAAAGCATTCTCCTTTGGGAGCTATATGAGTTTCTCAGTGTCGGGGATCGAAACTCTCAATATAATCCATGATAACCCACTTGGGAAGACTGAAAGGGTCGAGCCGATTTATTATATGGCATTCTGCATTCCCACCAATTTACTTTGTTAATTCTGCTGTATGTCTGCCTCCTAGGGGGCTGGGAATTTGTTCGAGCTCTTTCGATTCTCTGTCCCCTTGATACATTCCTGGTCCCATCTCGGGGAGCATATGCAGCATCCCTATTTTCAATTCTAGTTCAATCCCAGTAAGGATATCGGGACCCTCGCGAGCCATTATCCAGTCGTCCTCAGGGTTGATATTGTGTTCAGTCGCCATAAGCTCTGGGGTGCCCAGATATGGGATTTCAGCGTGGAGGGTTGCCCTGACTTCTTTCCTGAGTTCCTAATCATCTCAATTGCTCCTGAAGTTTTGCTAAAATATCCTCTAATTGCTTTTGATGCGCTTCACTAGGATCCTTTTTCGGATAGATAGGATTGTTTATGTTCCTGACTATCACTCGTGATTTCGCCGTTAATTGTTCAATAGTTTCCTCGCTGATGGCTGCCTGCACCGCCTTATCGAATGTCTCCGGATCTCGCAACATCACTTGTCTTTTTATACGCTCATTTAAGCCGCTGAGGAATTGCACCAGCAATCTTTCGTCCCTCTCTTTTTGTTGACATCTTTTGATAACTTCCCTTTCTTGCGCATCCCCGCTAGTTTGTTCTACCAACGGCATCGAAGATGTACAAACCATGCCGTGCGATTACCAAGGTCTGTAATCGCACGGCATAGGTTTGTACATCTTCGTCTCGCCCTTGGACACAGGCATGGAATTTTTGTAAACATAAAGAAATTGGCTCTCTATCAAATCTCTTAATCATGAGTTTTATAAACTCCTCATACGTCACCACCTCCTTCATTTTTGCATCCTTCCATGCAAATTCTTGGGCTATCCCCGTTAATTTTAACTTTGCGATTCCTAAACATTGTGCTTTACTCCAACTAGTTAACTTTGCGATTTCGTCTAGACTCAAAAAAATCGGTGACCTTAAGGCCCTCTGTGTCCCCCGCAAAGGAAGGTATCAATGGAATCATCCCTCCTAATCCGCCTAATGCGGCTCCTCCTGTGGGCTCTGCTCGTGCAACTCCTGCTGTCTCTTCTCGCGCCCGACCTTCACCTCTTGTCTCTTTTTTTTTTTTTTTTTTTTTTTTTTTTTTTTTTTTTTTTTTTTTTTTTTTTTTTTTTTTTTTTTTTTTTTTTTTTTTTTTTTTTTTTTTTTTTTTTTTTTTTTTTTTTTTTTTTTTTTTTTTTTTTTTTTTTTTTTTTTTTTTTTTTTTTTTTTTTTTTTTTTTTTTTTTTTTTTTTTTTTTTTTTTTTTTTTTTTTTTTNGATGAGGAAGTGACTTAATCGGATTCCATGGTTGCTAACAATTGACAATTTTAATGAAACTAAAGGAAATACAAAGAGAGTCAATTTCGGTCATAGTTCCACTATTCAAGAGAGGCCCGTCGAGAGAGAGAGTTTACAAACGAATCGCGGGTTGATAAATGCCTTGTCGACGGACTGTTCTTTCCACTAGTTCTGAATCTTGTCCGTTCACTGGTGTGGAGGTACGGAGGAGTGTAGAGGCTTAATCAGGCACGATTTTTTCCTCTCGGGTTTAATCCTGGGTCACGATTTTAATTCTGGAGGACGACTTTGTTGGGCGGACCTTTTGAAGACGACTCTCTCTTCTTCTTGAGGGTTTTTTCTTGTAATTCCTGTTGGGTTTTTCCATTAGGTCAGGTGATTGTTGTTAAGAGTCTGGCGTCCAATATGGATTCTCCATCGAAAGTTCCTGGTGACACATCCCTGACTAACTGGATCCAACTCAACAAGGAACAAACTCCGTGGGAAATAGTTTTTATGGCTTTTAGCCTAACTCGATAAAACGCTTGAATTTAACCGATTAAAGTTTCCAATGATTGAAATTTAAAATAACACTTTATTGTGGATCTGTTCGTCCCTCACAAAAGAAATGTCTTGTTATTTACTTCAAAAATTAAAAAAAGAGTGAATCAAAATGACTACTTAATCTCATTTAAGAGTTAAAACTCGTCCTTTCTTTTGCACACTTTTGCACAATGAGTTAGAATGTTCTAACTCATTGCCTCACATAACAAATGGCACACCCCTTGACTAAAAGGAAAATGGCAGCTATATATATGTATATTTAATTTTCTTTAAAGATGGTGTTGCTATAGCCATTCTATGTAGTGTATTCTAGCTCATTGAGAACAGCAGTTAACTCCAAAGAAATTGATTTAATCTCTATATTTTGAAAAGTGCTGTTAGTGAACAACACTTTTCAACTACCACCGGTCCATATCAAGCATGTTCAGTTCATTGCACATTCTTAGAATTTTGCTCATTTAAAAAACATTCTAATAGTCCTAAGTATTTAATTCAACTTTATTGTTTTGTACTGAATGTGGAATTAAACTTGAAAATGTCCATTATATACAGATGAAGTCATTCGTTTACAGTAAAATTTATACTTTTTACTAGATTGTGGTATTGGTGAGTGTTATTTTCAAAGGTTTATGTGTATGTTTTGGGACATGCTTTTTAATTTTAACATTAGATAATTGACAATAATATCCGTGATAACAAAAATCAGATTTTGCTGTATGTTGTAAAATAGTAAAACTAAAATTTTGTTAGATCATATTTCAACTTTAAATATGATCTAACCTTACAAGATAGATATTAGATTTTTATATGATATATATATTTTCCACTTTGAGTCTTGTTGAAAACTGGTTGATAAATAAATTTAGAATTTTTTAAATTGCAATTCTGTATTCATTAATTTTTAGAAAACAAACATAATTATTCAAATTACTTCTTTTATAATGTGATTTATAAAAAAATTTGGAGAATTTTACAGAATTGACCTGGTGGCCAAATTTGAGAATCCTGTATCAGTTATATATTTCTAGTGTGTAGATGTGTTTGCTAAACTCTAAATTGTCATATGAAGACAAAAGTATATCCTAAAAAAATTATTTTAAGTTGTAGATAACTTCTCACTTCAAAGATGAAAAGTATTAATTAGAATTAGCGTATTTGATAAAATTGCCAGAACTATAATTGTAATTATAGTCCTGGCAATTTTATCAAATTATATTTTTTATTTGTGCTGTCATCAGAAGGAAGTCCTGTAACATTTTGCATAATGAGGAGATGAGCATCCTCTAATAAAAGGTCAACTCTGCCATAAGACTTATTTTCCTGAGGTGTGAGAAAAGACATCAAAAGACTATATAATTTAGTCTTAAAATGTATATTAATTTTTGAATTAGTGTAATTTTGATGTCACCAGCATCTAAAATTTCACATACTTTGACATCTACATGAAATATATTCAACTTATTTAAATTTTCACAATTTGGAAAAACAACAAGTCTTCACTTCCTGTCCTCCTTTTACAAGCTAAATTTTTTAAATGAAAAACTTTTCGTATTAATTAAAATATTTTTCTTGTGATTGTGCCACCATCTGGGAATTGTTTTTAAATGTTTTTATGTAACAAGGCAGACAAAGCCTCAAATAAAAGATTGACTCTGCCTGTAGAGATTGTTTTGTTCCTGAGGTCATGAAAGAAGAACAAAAAGTGAAGACTTGTTGTTTCTTTCAGATTGTGAATATTTTATATTGTCTTTGGCTGTCTCATTAAAATTATTTAAATGTTGTTTTATGTAAAATATCATTATTTAATAACTTTTATTTTACTTTCCAGCTTTAACTCCAGAGAGGTTAAATCAATTTCAAAAGTCATTTGAAAGTGATCCAAAAAATTTACTTGCTCTTAATGCATGCACAAAACATGATCCATTTGAACTTTGCTTGAACCGTCTCAATCTCCAACAAGTCAGTCATGTTTTCAGCCATAAGGTAAGCCAGTTATTCTGAATGAATTGTTTTTTTAATAAATTAAAAAATAGTTTTAATTTTTTATTTAATCTTAAATATATATTTATCATTAACATTTTCATTGCCACTGTATAGGAAAGAAAAGAAATCATAAACAAGTATTTATTTTTTTGTGTACAGTCAATTCATATTAATAAGAATCACTAGGGAAATGGCAGTTCGTTTGCATTATCAAAAATTCATAATAATGATTTTCAAAGTCAAGGTCAAGTTTGTATAATTGAGTTAAGATGTAATAGACAATCAAAATTTCTAAATTATAATATTTTTAATTTTCTTGGTGTTTGTTTTAAGACATGCTGATTATAATCACTCACTATATTATAGTCTCTCTGTATTAATTTATTAAATCAAATTAAAAATAAATTTACTTACAAAACCAAATTAATGTTTTAAATGATTTTCAAATCAAACAAAATGAGGAGGAGATGGTATTTTCTGTTGAATTGTGCAATAGTCTATCAGAGTGGTCAAACAAAACACAGCTAAAATTAATTTTTTTTTCTTTTGTTTGAAAAAATAGAAAATATTTTTTTGGCACCAAAAGAGTAAAAAAAAAGAAGCCAAACCTGTCATCGCTGTATGCACTCCCTGATAAGCAAATTAGTATGTGTTTTCATGAAACCACATTTATTTAAAGGTGTGGGACAATCTTAAACTGTAACTCCTATTTTCTGAGTACAGTAGAATGATCTGCTAAAATCAGATGTCTGAATTGCTCTACAATTTGAGGTCGAACCTGTCTTTGTTTACTAGGAGAGGAAAATTTATTCTACTCAAAATGGAACATTTATTGCAGTACCACATTTTACTGTCCATATTGAAAAGTGAAAAAAGCAACCATTATTGGAAATAGCATTATTTCTTGGGGGTTATGAAGATAATTTACAATTCAGTTTAACAAATTCTGATAAAATTTTTGCTTGCTATTTTGCATGAAAATTAACGTTGTGACAATGACCTTTTGCCAGGGCAATGGCAAAATTCATTTTAACTTGAGAATTCATTTTATTGGTGTTTTTTTAAAACATGCTGATTGTAATCACTCACTATATTATAGTCTGTCTTTCTGACATTGGACTATCATCAAAATACTGTATACATTTGGCTAAATATTAGATATTAAATAGTTCTCATCAGGCTTGATGAGGAACTGTGTAGTTAATGGTCTGGTCTTTTGTCACAGTTGGGTCAATTGAAGCTGCCTTGTTAATATGTTACCATAACATGGAGAAAAGGGTAAAATGTATTTATCTCATTCTTTTCCTAAAGTTAATATATTACATTCCCTCAAAAACTATTCACTTATCAGACTGACCTGACCAGAACGATGTGTGGATCATCATGATATAGATGCCTCTACCATTTGCATCTCAGTTATGGAATCAAACAAAAAATTCTATACTTTTGAAAAAGGTTTCCTTGCTGTTTTTTCTGAGTAAGAGAGATCTTAACACATTGACCACTGTCCGACACACCGGCAGTCATGCTGGTTTGAGCCGTACAGAGCCATTTGACTGCCTGATGTCACTATAACCTATATAGTTTCACTCCTGGCTTCATAAAACATTTTTTTACATTCTAGTGGTGGTCTCTCACGCACATCTATAAAGTTGGCTCTGACTGCCAATGGTCATATGGCTGTTTGCGGGCCTAATTACTACAACCACCAGTACATTGTATGGCTGTGCGCAAGACTGATTGGTACAACCGCCAGCATGTCGGATGGCGATTAACGTGTTAATTTTCTTTTGATTTCTTGAGTGAACTAAGACAAATTCTAAACAAACAAAAAATAACAGACAAACTTTCGTTATTAAAATAAAGTTTGTTGTATCACTATGAACAATTTGCAACATTATCTATATATATATATATAGGGACACATACGTTCATTTTTATATATATATAAATGGACGTGTGTGTCCCTATATTTCACTTTTCAGCCAAAACTACACATCGCACATGAATGGTGTTTGTATGTGGTAGTAGCCCCAAGTCTCCATTCGTGCACTATGGTGGTTGCGTCTGGATAGCTATAAGGATGCGGGAGATATGGGGTTTAAAGTGGTTGACTTCGAAGATTTTCTATTTCAATTTTAAAAATGTTTGAACCGTTTTAATTCGAATTTGTATTTGAATTCAAATTCGAATTGGTTCGATTATAGAACGATTGTAAATGTTCCAGAAAATTGATCAAATTGAAAATAATTCGTTTGACTGGACATAAAAATTCTCTAATTAGTCTAGAAACGGGGGACCTAATTCTTGCATATGGGGTTGAAAGTGGTTGACTTCGAAGATGTGTAACAATGGAAGTGTTGAGTAACAAAGGAAGTGTTAATATAAGCAGCATGCAAGATTTATAGGCGGTTTTTTGCATTTTTGCGGGAAATCGAACATATTTTTAGACCCATGTAAAAATTCTCTAATTAGTCTGGAAATGGGGGACCTAATTCTTGCATTCTGTGAAAACGAATAAAACTGGCTATAATGTAATTATCTTAATCTTCACTAACATTATTTTTTGCCCAGTGAAGCGGGTCCTTGCAGCTAGTAGATCATAAAAAGGTTTAAATGATTTTAGAGAAGAAACTGGATTATTTTTGGCAGAATTAAAATACTTAAAGAATAAAAGTATTTCCACTAATACATAAATTTAAACATTTTTTAAAATTTATTTTTATATTTATAATTATGCCTTTGATTAATTTATCATTTATATTATTCTAGGTTGATATTGATGCAAAGCCTGTGACTAATCAAAAGAGTTCTGGACGTTGTTGGATATTTGCTTGCTTAAATGTGATAAGAATTCCTTTTATGAAACATTATGAATTAGAAGAATTTGAATTTAGTCAGGCACATCTTTTCTTTTGGGACAAAGTAAGATTTAATTTTATTTGTATAATTTACACATGATTAATTCAATTTTATAAATTAAATATTCAGCTGAAGACTTTTATTTATTACATATAATGTTATCTCTGTTCATTTAGTTTGGCATTTCTATTATCATCATTAAAAGTTTTTTACTCTTTAAACTAATAATAATCATTTATTTGTTATAATTTACAAGACAAATCTAAACGGATATATAATAAGATAATTTCACAACAGAATATCATTAATATAAACAGTTTTTTTAAAATAGTTTATTTATAGTGCAAGAAAATGCTATATAAAAACAAGTAAAACAGCAAAGCCGTATTTGGGACAAGACTATGTCTCAGAGACTCACTACTAAGTGGGATCACTTTCATGCTCAAGGTGGGTCTTGTTTTCTTATTTGTATCAGTGGTTTTGAGCACAATCGTTCAAACTTCACCAGCCATGGCCATGACTACGAGGTCATCCACAGTGCATTTTTGGTGAAATTAGCCTATTCAATTTTGAAATTTCTCTGTTGTGTGTCACCCTGCGTTGAATTTTTGTCGATGCCTAAGAAAATTTCCTGTTTTTGAAAAAAAAATCCTGGCCATTATATCGTCCAAAATTATAACAACTAGCACTGTCTACTTTCAAAAACGTTCCGATACTGAAATGAGATATCTTGGGTCAACTGGTCAAAGTCAGCATGTCACGACCAGAGATATGTTGAGAATAACACAGGACAGGTAAATGGGATTTTTCAAAGATTTGTTCATCAAAATTTGATTTAGCAACATTTGATTTCCAACTTTTCAATGAGCAACACATGCTTAAATCTCACACTACTGCCTGTTTGTAGAGAGTGTTGTCATTTTGTATTTTATTTTGACTCTGTTCTCAAATCTCTGAGTACCTACAAGTCTGGTCTTTTTATGTGCACATGAATTGGGCACTTAATACTCTGTGCCAAATTGCAACTCCTGACATGTACTCCTTCATACCTCTAAGCTGGTAAGCCAACCAGCAATATGATTTTATAAACAAGACGTGGTCTTGTCAATAAGGTGTTTTTATATATATAAACACCTTATTTTATAGAAGATAAAGTATAGCAATTTCTTGCAGTTTTATAAAAATGAGATTAAGTATTTTTTAAGTGTCAATTTTATATTTCAGATTGAAAGATCTAATTATTTTCTAAATGCTATTGTGGAAACTGCTAGAAGAGGTGAACCAGTGGATGGCCGTTTAGTGTCATTTTTGCTCAGTGATCCTTCTTGTGATGGAGGACAATGGGATATGCTTGTGAATTTAATTTTACGTTATGGTCTTATTCCAAAGAAATGCTTTCCTGAATCTTACAGCTGTGAGAATTCTGGAAAGTTGAATCGACTTCTTAAAAGTAAAGTAAGTATTTCATGATATATGTGTTACGGTTATAATTTGAAAATTATTGATGATAAAATCATTTTTATAGAGCTTAAATCTCCTGTGTTATTTACATATGTTATCTAATAGTATATTATATTTTTCAGTTGTTTTTACTGTATTCTAAAATTTAAAATAGTTATCATGCCAATTATTCTATAAACTGATGTAATAGTAATAGTAGTAGTCTTTTCTTTCTCTAACTAAATTACCATAATAAACCAATCCCATTATTTTAATATTTATTTTAGTTTTAATTTATATAAATTTAAATTGTTTTTTGTATCTGCCCTATAAGACGACCCAGATTTTGGGGGCCTTTTTTTTATAATTAAACTATCATCTTATCTGCAGAAATAAACAGTATCTTTCTTTCCCCCTTCACCACTTAGAGGGAAAAAATACATGAATTTACAAGTTAGAAATTATATTGAGTCTTTCATAAGGTCAAAAATAGAAATCTTCTATTGGAATAGAACTGAAAAATTGACTTCAGTGACAGTAATGAAATGGAGTAGTAAATACATTTTACATAAATTAAATTAATCAGTTTTGTTCTTCAAAATTTTTTTTAAAAATTACATTAATTATTGACTTACTCAATATGATAGTTTTATGTCTACCTCTAGTAACAAATTACTTTATATTAATCATTTAATTAGCCAAATTCTAGCCTGATCTTTCAGGCGATTCTTGGTTATTTCATGATAGTTTTGTGACCAGAGGATCGACACCTCTTTAGTGCCTCATCAGGACTGCCTCATCAGGACTGAAGGTCTGTGTCTTCTAGGATAGAGACAGAAACCTTAATGGCCGCAAATTCGGAATTCGTGTGAGCGGTTACGTGGACAGGCGATCAGATTCAGGATGGAGGAGAATTGAGAGACAAATCGGAAGTGAATCACAAGGATACAAGGTTAACAATTAAAATAACCAATTTAATTCAACAAAAAAGAGAATACATAGTTCTATGCTATCGAATAATAGTCAAGAGAGAGAGTTTACAAGAAGCTGCAAGTTGGTATATATATACCTTTACTGCACTTAATAGTGTGGATTCTGGATCTCTGACTTGTTCGGACATATGTCAGTTGTTGTCGGTCAGTTGGAGTGATTGGGGAGACATTAATTTTTCTTTTCCTAGGATGGTAGTCAAACCAAGAGAAATGGAAGTATAAAATAATCCATGGAGTTCAAAGGTGTCAAACAACATAGAGTATGAAATCCTGGATACGATCTCTCTTGGTTTTTTTTTTAAGAGCACTTGATTGATGCACTGGCAAACTCTCGACGACCCCTTATCCTTCAGTCACTCTTTTTATACTTCCAAATCACATTAACTTTTTTCACCAATCAGGAATTTTTCCTCTTGGTTCCCAGTGGCACATTCAATGAGTTCCCTGGGAAAGGAAACGACTTCAAAGAGAGAGATGCAATCATTCTCCGGTAATAAAAATGGGTAAAATTTTTTGAAAGACAAAAAATGAATTTTCTCTCAAAATCGTCAGGATCGGTCTCTCACTGTTTTAATTCATATTTTTATGTAAATACTATATTATATTATTTTTACTTTTTAGCTTAGAGAATATGCCAGAGATTTAAGAGTATTAGTTGATAATCAGACATCTGAAGAAGAAATTAATAAAACAATTAGCCAACAAATGGATGAAGTAAGATATTTTGTTTTTATCCTATTGCCAGAATAAGAAATGTTTTAATCAGTTATTTTAATATAATTTATAAATTACATATAAAACCTAGTCCAACTTACTATAATATTATTATGATCGACCAGATTTTTATTTGGGTTATAATATGGCCAATTAATTATAAGGATTACATAATTTGGACTAAAGATAGTGGTTATAAGTCATATTAAATTTAGTAATTTAATAAGTCATGTATGAAATCTTGTATTAAATTTAATAATTATAAATAATGTAGAATGTTCTTGAAGAAAAGATTCATGAATGACCTCTATGGTAGCGAAGATTACACAGGATCCATAAGGTAGTATAATTGGCACTGCATCTGCACAGTAAGAAGTTATGGGTTTGAGTTCTGTTCCAAATGAATCTTTTATTTCTAAATCTATTTCTAATTATTAAATTTAATACAATGTGGCACCTTAACTGCCTGTTTTAATCCAAGTTACTTATCTATATAATTTTATGTATTATAGCCCAAGTGAAAATCACTAATATTGCATAATTATAATTTTAAATTTTTAAAATTTTTATGATAGATTTAAATAAATGTGTTTGATAAACAAGTGCAGAAAATTTTTATCATTAATATATATTAAAATTCATCTCTTGGCCACATTAATTTTGAATAAATTTTGGTATAGGCAATTTTATTTTAAATTAATTAGTTTTATTATATTTATGGGTAAGTTTTGCAGAATTGAACAGATTTGATTCTCATGTAAATAACATTTTATGGACTTTTACTCTTTCCCTTGAAAAATCTAGCTTATTTTAAATTTTTGAGGGTTGTTACATAACATTATATAAAGAATAAATGCACAAACACAGATATGCATTTGTGCAAGAAAGGAATTTTATTTATATACAGGGTGTATCAGAATGACATTTTAAAAATTTGGGGGATTGAAGAGGATGAAATTTTGAATGTTTTGATATAAGGAACCCATAGCCGGAAATGTGATATAAAGTGTCTACAGTGGGTAGGAAGTGCTTGACCGCCCTTCACTTTGTTAGCTACTCTTCCATCCATTGACATCATGTTAATTGTTCTTGACTTCTTCCTCTGAGGTTATGTAAAGTCCCTTGTGTATGCAACACCTGTAGGAACAGTTCATGAGCTTACGGAGTGCATCTTTACAGCATTTAATACTATCAGAGGAGAGCGTGGCATCTTACAGAGAGTCGGGCAAAACATGGTTTGTCATTGCACATTATATAACGAAGTTGGTGGTCATCACATTGAGTATTTACTCTAAAGTAGTGCAACCACTGATTCAATGTACAATTTGATTGTACTCTACTTTTTTGTCAATAAAACATGTCATAAATACTGTATTCTACTGTTTCATTCAGCATACCGACTGCAAAGTGCTGTAAAAACTTTATATCACATTTCTGGCTAAAGGTTCCATATATGAAAACATTCAAAATTTCATCCTCTACAATCCCCCAAATTTTTAAAACGTCATTCTGATATTCCCTGTATATATAAAATAAATTTTAGAAATAAACTTTTTCAATAATACAAGTTAGATGCTTTATTAAGTTAATCAGTCAGGTTGATTACAGTAGACCCCCCCTATAACGCGTAGATACGTTCCACATTATACGAATTTCACGTTGTAGGAATCCTTAAATACATGAGCCAATCGCAGCCCGACATGTGTGAAGTTTACGAACTACGGCTGTTTGAAAGGTTTTCTTCCATAAAATTAATCGATTCTAGACTAATTCGACTCAACATTTCCAAAACATGTATAATTTTTTGAGAATAATCCATATAAACTATGTTATAAACAAAAAATTGTAGGATTACTTACCGAGTGTGCACCGTTCGATGTCGCCATTGCTTAAGCCTGTTTTCGTCGCGGAGCAGTGCACCAAACGGCGGCCACAATTTCTGATGAGTTATTTTTCTGCGAAAAATTCATTGACCTTTGGAGACATCATTAATATAAATAATTTTTATGGCCATTGAATAAGAAATGTTTCTTTCACAAGAAATGTATAAAATTACAGTACTGTATTAGACTTACAGTACCTAATTTACATACTGTACAGACGATAGTAAACTCAACTTACTCGCCTAAACTCTCTGTAGCGTGTAAGTAGTTCGGCTGCTCGTATACTATTGGTCCAGATTCGACCAATCCTGTCGCAACACGAGTCCCTTTTAGCGTCTTTATACAAATACTGTCGCAATTTTTTTGCCACATTATAGGAACCTGCATTATAGGGTGTCTAATGTACTTCATAAACCATAAATAGTGCTCAAATATTAATCCTGAATTTCATTTATTCCAAATTGCAATGCTGTTCATTCTTATGATGCTTGAATATTGAAATTATAAGAAATTTATTTGGAAATTACTTAATGATTTTAGAGTAATGAGGAAATGGAACCTTATTATAAGATTATTATTTTGTATATTTTACAGTTATATCTTATGCATATGCAAATTAGTAAACTAGTGTTTTATTTAATTTTTCATATTTTAATTATTTTTTTTTTTTTTTTTGTAATTTATTCATTATTATCAATATTTATATTTATTAATAAATCTTTTTTATTTGTAGATATATCGTATTACTGCCATCTGTTTAGGTATACCCCCACAAACTTTCACTTGGGAATATTATAACAAAAATAAATCATATTTTTCAATTGGACCATTAACTCCTATGAAGTTTTATGAGGATTATGTTAAACCTTACTTTAATATTGAAGATAAGGTAATCTTTTCTGATGTTTTAAAAAGTAAAATCTTTTAATCTTTTGTTTTAGAAAAAAAAAAACAGTTATATTAACATTTAAAAGTATATATATTTATTTATTATTCAAAGTTTTAAATTTTATATTTTATATACATATGTATATTAGAAAGTAATGGTCAAAACCATGTTTTCAAAATATCAGTATAAACTGTAGTTAGTATGAAAGTTCAATAAATTTTTATTTCCTTCTTCAAAAATGTGATTTGTGAGTTTCTGGAAAATTTGTTTTTGAGTTTTTATTTTTCCAGCTCTGTTTTATATAACAGAGGGAAAGTATTGTGATTGATCATAAAATGACCCCTCAAAATTTTTAGTTTTGGACTTGGGATCTTGGAACATCGAGAAATGCAAAAAGATTGCAGGTTTTTTCTGTGTGTATAGATGTTTGTGTGTGAAGGTATGATTTTATTCACCCTTTTTGAAATTTGATAACTACTTTGCTTTTTGTTGAAAATTTGAAATTTTACAGGGAGGTTTGTGAGTTGGAAAATTGATGCTATTAAATTTTGGTAGTTAAAGGTCAATGGAGTGGGGAGATAAAGGAGGGTCGTGTCATATCTCCAGTAAAGTCAGACTTAATTACAATTTTACTCTTTATTAGCATTTATAATTTGTTATAAAACCCATCCCTATCTTAAAAATTAAATTTTTTGCCATTTTGTAATATTGATAATTGAAAATATAAAGTTTCNTATATATATATATAAATGGACGTGTGTGTCCCTATATTTCACTTTTCAGCCAAAACTACACATCGCACATGAATGGTGTTTGTATGTGGTAGTAGCCCCAAGTCTCCATTCGTGCACTATGGTGGTTGCGTCTGGATAGCTATAAGGATGCGGGAGATATGGGGTTTAAAGTGGTTGACTTCGAAGATTTTCTATTTCAATTTTAAAAATGTTTGAACCGTTTTAATTCGAATTTGTATTTGAATTCAAATTCGAATTGGTTCGATTATAGAACGATTGTAAATGTTCCAGAAAATTGATCAAATTGAAAATAATTCGTTTGACTGGACATAAAAATTCTCTAATTAGTCTAGAAACGGGGGACCTAATTCTTGCATATGGGGTTGAAAGTGGTTGACTTCGAAGATGTGTAACAATGGAAGTGTTGAGTAACAAAGGAAGTGTTAATATAAGCAGCATGCAAGATTTATAGGCGGTTTTTTGCATTTTTGCGGGAAATCGAACATATTTTTAGACCCATGTAAAAATTCTCTAATTAGTCTGGAAATGGGGGACCTAATTCTTGCATTCTGTGAAAACGAATAAAACTGGCTATAATGTAATTATCTTAATCTTCACTAACATTATTTTTTGCCCAGTGAAGCGGGTCCTTGCAGCTAGTAGATCATAAAAAGGTTTAAATGATTTTAGAGAAGAAACTGGATTATTTTTGGCAGAATTAAAATACTTAAAGAATAAAAGTATTTCCACTAATACATAAATTTAAACATTTTTTAAAATTTATTTTTATATTTATAATTATGCCTTTGATTAATTTATCATTTATATTATTCTAGGTTGATATTGATGCAAAGCCTGTGACTAATCAAAAGAGTTCTGGACGTTGTTGGATATTTGCTTGCTTAAATGTGATAAGAATTCCTTTTATGAAACATTATGAATTAGAAGAATTTGAATTTAGTCAGGCACATCTTTTCTTTTGGGACAAAGTAAGATTTAATTTTATTTGTATAATTTACACATGATTAATTCAATTTTATAAATTAAATATTCAGCTGAAGACTTTTATTTATTACATATAATGTTATCTCTGTTCATTTAGTTTGGCATTTCTATTATCATCATTAAAAGTTTTTTACTCTTTAAACTAATAATAATCATTTATTTGTTATAATTTACAAGACAAATCTAAACGGATATATAATAAGATAATTTCACAACAGAATATCATTAATATAAACAGTTTTTTTAAAATAGTTTATTTATAGTGCAAGAAAATGCTATATAAAAACAAGTAAAACAGCAAAGCCGTATTTGGGACAAGACTATGTCTCAGAGACTCACTACTAAGTGGGATCACTTTCATGCTCAAGGTGGGTCTTGTTTTCTTATTTGTATCAGTGGTTTTGAGCACAATCGTTCAAACTTCACCAGCCATGGCCATGACTACGAGGTCATCCACAGTGCATTTTTGGTGAAATTAGCCTATTCAATTTTGAAATTTCTCTGTTGTGTGTCACCCTGCGTTGAATTTTTGTCGATGCCTAAGAAAATTTCCTGTTTTTGAAAAAAAAATCCTGGCCATTATATCGTCCAAAATTATAACAACTAGCACTGTCTACTTTCAAAAACGTTCCGATACTGAAATGAGATATCTTGGGTCAACTGGTCAAAGTCAGCATGTCACGACCAGAGATATGTTGAGAATAACACAGGACAGGTAAATGGGATTTTTCAAAGATTTGTTCATCAAAATTTGATTTAGCAACATTTGATTTCCAACTTTTCAATGAGCAACACATGCTTAAATCTCACACTACTGCCTGTTTGTAGAGAGTGTTGTCATTTTGTATTTTATTTTGACTCTGTTCTCAAATCTCTGAGTACCTACAAGTCTGGTCTTTTTATGTGCACATGAATTGGGCACTTAATACTCTGTGCCAAATTGCAACTCCTGACATGTACTCCTTCATACCTCTAAGCTGGTAAGCCAACCAGCAATATGATTTTATAAACAAGACGTGGTCTTGTCAATAAGGTGTTTTTATATATATAAACACCTTATTTTATAGAAGATAAAGTATAGCAATTTCTTGCAGTTTTATAAAAATGAGATTAAGTATTTTTTAAGTGTCAATTTTATATTTCAGATTGAAAGATCTAATTATTTTCTAAATGCTATTGTGGAAACTGCTAGAAGAGGTGAACCAGTGGATGGCCGTTTAGTGTCATTTTTGCTCAGTGATCCTTCTTGTGATGGAGGACAATGGGATATGCTTGTGAATTTAATTTTACGTTATGGTCTTATTCCAAAGAAATGCTTTCCTGAATCTTACAGCTGTGAGAATTCTGGAAAGTTGAATCGACTTCTTAAAAGTAAAGTAAGTATTTCATGATATATGTGTTACGGTTATAATTTGAAAATTATTGATGATAAAATCATTTTTATAGAGCTTAAATCTCCTGTGTTATTTACATATGTTATCTAATAGTATATTATATTTTTCAGTTGTTTTTACTGTATTCTAAAATTTAAAATAGTTATCATGCCAATTATTCTATAAACTGATGTAATAGTAATAGTAGTAGTCTTTTCTTTCTCTAACTAAATTACCATAATAAACCAATCCCATTATTTTAATATTTATTTTAGTTTTAATTTATATAAATTTAAATTGTTTTTTGTATCTGCCCTATAAGACGACCCAGATTTTGGGGGCCTTTTTTTTATAATTAAACTATCATCTTATCTGCAGAAATAAACAGTATCTTTCTTTCCCCCTTCACCACTTAGAGGGAAAAAATACATGAATTTACAAGTTAGAAATTATATTGAGTCTTTCATAAGGTCAAAAATAGAAATCTTCTATTGGAATAGAACTGAAAAATTGACTTCAGTGACAGTAATGAAATGGAGTAGTAAATACATTTTACATAAATTAAATTAATCAGTTTTGTTCTTCAAAATTTTTTTTAAAAATTACATTAATTATTGACTTACTCAATATGATAGTTTTATGTCTACCTCTAGTAACAAATTACTTTATATTAATCATTTAATTAGCCAAATTCTAGCCTGATCTTTCAGGCGATTCTTGGTTATTTCATGATAGTTTTGTGACCAGAGGATCGACACCTCTTTAGTGCCTCATCAGGACTGCCTCATCAGGACTGAAGGTCTGTGTCTTCTAGGATAGAGACAGAAACCTTAATGGCCGCAAATTCGGAATTCGTGTGAGCGGTTACGTGGACAGGCGATCAGATTCAGGATGGAGGAGAATTGAGAGACAAATCGGAAGTGAATCACAAGGATACAAGGTTAACAATTAAAATAACCAATTTAATTCAACAAAAAAGAGAATACATAGTTCTATGCTATCGAATAATAGTCAAGAGAGAGAGTTTACAAGAAGCTGCAAGTTGGTATATATATACCTTTACTGCACTTAATAGTGTGGATTCTGGATCTCTGACTTGTTCGGACATATGTCAGTTGTTGTCGGTCAGTTGGAGTGATTGGGGAGACATTAATTTTTCTTTTCCTAGGATGGTAGTCAAACCAAGAGAAATGGAAGTATAAAATAATCCATGGAGTTCAAAGGTGTCAAACAACATAGAGTATGAAATCCTGGATACGATCTCTCTTGGTTTTTTTTTTAAGAGCACTTGATTGATGCACTGGCAAACTCTCGACGACCCCTTATCCTTCAGTCACTCTTTTTATACTTCCAAATCACATTAACTTTTTTCACCAATCAGGAATTTTTCCTCTTGGTTCCCAGTGGCACATTCAATGAGTTCCCTGGGAAAGGAAACGACTTCAAAGAGAGAGATGCAATCATTCTCCGGTAATAAAAATGGGTAAAATTTTTTGAAAGACAAAAAATGAATTTTCTCTCAAAATCGTCAGGATCGGTCTCTCACTGTTTTAATTCATATTTTTATGTAAATACTATATTATATTATTTTTACTTTTTAGCTTAGAGAATATGCCAGAGATTTAAGAGTATTAGTTGATAATCAGACATCTGAAGAAGAAATTAATAAAACAATTAGCCAACAAATGGATGAAGTAAGATATTTTGTTTTTATCCTATTGCCAGAATAAGAAATGTTTTAATCAGTTATTTTAATATAATTTATAAATTACATATAAAACCTAGTCCAACTTACTATAATATTATTATGATCGACCAGATTTTTATTTGGGTTATAATATGGCCAATTAATTATAAGGATTACATAATTTGGACTAAAGATAGTGGTTATAAGTCATATTAAATTTAGTAATTTAATAAGTCATGTATGAAATCTTGTATTAAATTTAATAATTATAAATAATGTAGAATGTTCTTGAAGAAAAGATTCATGAATGACCTCTATGGTAGCGAAGATTACACAGGATCCATAAGGTAGTATAATTGGCACTGCATCTGCACAGTAAGAAGTTATGGGTTTGAGTTCTGTTCCAAATGAATCTTTTATTTCTAAATCTATTTCTAATTATTAAATTTAATACAATGTGGCACCTTAACTGCCTGTTTTAATCCAAGTTACTTATCTATATAATTTTATGTATTATAGCCCAAGTGAAAATCACTAATATTGCATAATTATAATTTTAAATTTTTAAAATTTTTATGATAGATTTAAATAAATGTGTTTGATAAACAAGTGCAGAAAATTTTTATCATTAATATATATTAAAATTCATCTCTTGGCCACATTAATTTTGAATAAATTTTGGTATAGGCAATTTTATTTTAAATTAATTAGTTTTATTATATTTATGGGTAAGTTTTGCAGAATTGAACAGATTTGATTCTCATGTAAATAACATTTTATGGACTTTTACTCTTTCCCTTGAAAAATCTAGCTTATTTTAAATTTTTGAGGGTTGTTACATAACATTATATAAAGAATAAATGCACAAACACAGATATGCATTTGTGCAAGAAAGGAATTTTATTTATATACAGGGTGTATCAGAATGACATTTTAAAAATTTGGGGGATTGAAGAGGATGAAATTTTGAATGTTTTGATATAAGGAACCCATAGCCGGAAATGTGATATAAAGTGTCTACAGTGGGTAGGAAGTGCTTGACCGCCCTTCACTTTGTTAGCTACTCTTCCATCCATTGACATCATGTTAATTGTTCTTGACTTCTTCCTCTGAGGTTATGTAAAGTCCCTTGTGTATGCAACACCTGTAGGAACAGTTCATGAGCTTACGGAGTGCATCTTTACAGCATTTAATACTATCAGAGGAGAGCGTGGCATCTTACAGAGAGTCGGGCAAAACATGGTTTGTCATTGCACATTATATAACGAAGTTGGTGGTCATCACATTGAGTATTTACTCTAAAGTAGTGCAACCACTGATTCAATGTACAATTTGATTGTACTCTACTTTTTTGTCAATAAAACATGTCATAAATACTGTATTCTACTGTTTCATTCAGCATACCGACTGCAAAGTGCTGTAAAAACTTTATATCACATTTCTGGCTAAAGGTTCCATATATGAAAACATTCAAAATTTCATCCTCTACAATCCCCCAAATTTTTAAAACGTCATTCTGATATTCCCTGTATATATAAAATAAATTTTAGAAATAAACTTTTTCAATAATACAAGTTAGATGCTTTATTAAGTTAATCAGTCAGGTTGATTACAGTAGACCCCCCCTATAACGCGTAGATACGTTCCACATTATACGAATTTCACGTTGTAGGAATCCTTAAATACATGAGCCAATCGCAGCCCGACATGTGTGAAGTTTACGAACTACGGCTGTTTGAAAGGTTTTCTTCCATAAAATTAATCGATTCTAGACTAATTCGACTCAACATTTCCAAAACATGTATAATTTTTTGAGAATAATCCATATAAACTATGTTATAAACAAAAAATTGTAGGATTACTTACCGAGTGTGCACCGTTCGATGTCGCCATTGCTTAAGCCTGTTTTCGTCGCGGAGCAGTGCACCAAACGGCGGCCACAATTTCTGATGAGTTATTTTTCTGCGAAAAATTCATTGACCTTTGGAGACATCATTAATATAAATAATTTTTATGGCCATTGAATAAGAAATGTTTCTTTCACAAGAAATGTATAAAATTACAGTACTGTATTAGACTTACAGTACCTAATTTACATACTGTACAGACGATAGTAAACTCAACTTACTCGCCTAAACTCTCTGTAGCGTGTAAGTAGTTCGGCTGCTCGTATACTATTGGTCCAGATTCGACCAATCCTGTCGCAACACGAGTCCCTTTTAGCGTCTTTATACAAATACTGTCGCAATTTTTTTGCCACATTATAGGAACCTGCATTATAGGGTGTCTAATGTACTTCATAAACCATAAATAGTGCTCAAATATTAATCCTGAATTTCATTTATTCCAAATTGCAATGCTGTTCATTCTTATGATGCTTGAATATTGAAATTATAAGAAATTTATTTGGAAATTACTTAATGATTTTAGAGTAATGAGGAAATGGAACCTTATTATAAGATTATTATTTTGTATATTTTACAGTTATATCTTATGCATATGCAAATTAGTAAACTAGTGTTTTATTTAATTTTTCATATTTTAATTATTTTTTTTTTTTTTTTTGTAATTTATTCATTATTATCAATATTTATATTTATTAATAAATCTTTTTTATTTGTAGATATATCGTATTACTGCCATCTGTTTAGGTATACCCCCACAAACTTTCACTTGGGAATATTATAACAAAAATAAATCATATTTTTCAATTGGACCATTAACTCCTATGAAGTTTTATGAGGATTATGTTAAACCTTACTTTAATATTGAAGATAAGGTAATCTTTTCTGATGTTTTAAAAAGTAAAATCTTTTAATCTTTTGTTTTAGAAAAAAAAAAACAGTTATATTAACATTTAAAAGTATATATATTTATTTATTATTCAAAGTTTTAAATTTTATATTTTATATACATATGTATATTAGAAAGTAATGGTCAAAACCATGTTTTCAAAATATCAGTATAAACTGTAGTTAGTATGAAAGTTCAATAAATTTTTATTTCCTTCTTCAAAAATGTGATTTGTGAGTTTCTGGAAAATTTGTTTTTGAGTTTTTATTTTTCCAGCTCTGTTTTATATAACAGAGGGAAAGTATTGTGATTGATCATAAAATGACCCCTCAAAATTTTTAGTTTTGGACTTGGGATCTTGGAACATCGAGAAATGCAAAAAGATTGCAGGTTTTTTCTGTGTGTATAGATGTTTGTGTGTGAAGGTATGATTTTATTCACCCTTTTTGAAATTTGATAACTACTTTGCTTTTTGTTGAAAATTTGAAATTTTACAGGGAGGTTTGTGAGTTGGAAAATTGATGCTATTAAATTTTGGTAGTTAAAGGTCAATGGAGTGGGGAGATAAAGGAGGGTCGTGTCATATCTCCAGTAAAGTCAGACTTAATTACAATTTTACTCTTTATTAGCATTTATAATTTGTTATAAAACCCATCCCTATCTTAAAAATTAAATTTTTTGCCATTTTGTAATATTGATAATTGAAAATATAAAGTTTCTTAATAAAATATAACAACAGATGGCACCACCAAATGTTGCCAGAAATATTAAAATTTTTTGCTGGATTTTTAAAATTAATCTTTAATGATATGCTGTGTCCATGTTTAGAGGTATTAAACCTCTAAATATGGACACAGCATATCATTAAAGATTAATTAGATATAATAATAGAAAATTTTTTAAGGAAATTTTATTTTTGTTATAAAATAATGACTGAGACTTCTAAAAAATTATTTATTTCAACTTCATTTGAACTTCAATAACAATAGTATAGTTAGATTTAGTTTCTATATAATTTCAAATATTTAAAAATAAAACTGATAAAAAAAATTTCATGAGATTTTAAGTAGATCACTTTATTACATGGATCTGTTTTAGCCATAATTTTAAGAAAGATAGTGATATTAACTTGCTGTAAATATATTGTGAATCTTTATTTTTTCTCTTAAAATAGTGTTATTTGCTTGTAATGATGTATAAATCCCATTAGTAGAAGCCAAACTTGTCATTTAGCATTAAACCATATTTTAATGTTTGCTAGAAATGAAGCTTGGTTGTGGTTCCTTAAATCCTTAAATACCAATGAAAATCATTATCATCAGTCCATTTAGATTCTTCTTTTTATTATTAAACATGAATGAAAACTATTTCTTTCTATTTCTATGTACTCTACAGTCCTTTCTCAATTAACAACATTCTTGTTTGTTTTAGACCTAAATATAATTTTAAATAACTTTATTCATTTATGAATGATATATTTTTAGACATTAGATGTATTTCTTTTTTGATGACATTGATGGTGTTTCAGACAGCTAAAAGTCTCTCTCTTGGAAGATCACAAGCTAGAGATAATAGAAAGAAAAACACAACATTTATTATAATTTCATAATAAAAGATTTATTATTGATTTTCAGGTGTAAACATTCAAATTGTTATATTTTTATTAATAAGCCATTTTGTTTTAAGCATTTTTACTAATTAATGTATGAAGTGTATAAGCTTATAATCTTCAGTGGCTTCACATTGACATATAAATTAATGTAATTTATATTTTTATGTGAATCCATTGAAAATTATTTAATAACATAAGATTTAACTTCTCAACCAGACATTCATTCTTAAGTATTATATCTCTGTTTAATATATATATATTTTTAATTTTTATTATTTATTTTTTGTTTTTCTTAAGAACTATGTCAACAGAATTATAAAAATATTTTTGTGCAAAAAAGCTAAAGTTCAGAATTTCTTATTGAAAAAAATCAGTTTTTATGACATAATTTCAGCTTTGCTTAATATTGATAAAAGGCAAAGCTGAAATTATGTCATAAATATTATTAACTGATGATATCTTAAAAACTATTTAAATATTTGTACAGTATATTTAGAATAGATATGAATAGAACCATTACTATATGGAAAATAATTAGTTCATAATTTTGAGCATTTCTTGTTTAATTTATATATGTAATTATTTTATAGGTCTGTATTGTGAATGATCCTAGACCAGTAAATTCTTATGGAAAATCTTACACAGTTGATTGTTTAGGAAACATGGTAGGAGGACGCTTAACTATGTATAATAATCAGCCAATTGAAACATTAGTAGAATTAGCAACAGAATCAATTCAAAATAAAGAGGTATGCTTATATTTATTAAATTTTTAAATCTTTAACTACAGATAAAATGGCATACGATATTTATTTTAATATTTGATAGAATAAATAACTAGTGGTTCAGTAAATATGCTTTGTTGAATATTTTTTGTTATTTTTAAATTTTGTAATATTTTATTAAAATCGGATGAAAGTGTACTTCATAAATAAAACTGCTAAATTAAATATAACTTACATTTATTATGTCAAGTTATATTAAAATTCATGAATTTAATTTTTTATTTAATTAGAATGAAGAATGAATTAATTCAAATTGATGAAAAACTAATTAATTTAACATGGAAATATTTGTTTTAAATGTTTTTGTTTATAGGTTCTTTTTCAAAGATGTTTTTCACTATATTCAAATAGAGCAGATTTGATGTTTTTAGTTCTTTTGTAGTGAAGCTGGTTTTATGTTAATTTTATATTTAAGATTATCAATAAGTATATAACAGTAAATAATAAGCAAGTCTGTTGTCTTCTAAATTATAAGTACATATTAAAACTTATTTTCAATTAGGCTGTTTGGTTTGGATCTGAAGTTTCTCAAAGATTAGCTTTGAAGGTAGGATTAGAAGATATGGTAACGTAAGTATCTTTTTACATAAATTATATTCGTTATAATCATATTCCCTATTTCATTCTGAATTTTATAGTATAGTATATTTTAATTTTGTTAAATTATTTTTGTAAGTTTGAATTATTTCATTTCTATAAGTCCCATTAAAAACTGCAAATTAACCTGTCGTACATTGTTCCCGAAAATATTCATGTTGACCTCATGACCTGCGTGGGCAATCCCGAATATTTTCGTGTTTACATCAGAACGTTTTTGATACTAGATGTCGCTATGCATCACAATTTTTATACTAAAACGAACTTTAAAAATTTTTTTTTTGTTTCTGTATTATTCAATATATTTATTTTGTTTGTGAAACATAAAAAAAAAAATAATTTTTTACAATACAGTAAACACGATTATTATTTAAAAAAGAAAAAAAATAGGCTTAACATCGACGAAAATTCAACACGGCGTCACAGGCAGCAAATAAAATTTCAACATCGAATAGGTTAAATATTCCAACAGAATTTGTTAAGATTTAATATTTTCAATTATTTGGAAAAGAAGGAAAGGTTCTACAAAAATTCTAAGAATTTAAACATCATTTTCAAAAGAAGATCATCATTATTATATCATATGATATACTATACTTAGAAGCACAAAAGTAAGACAAATTCAATAGACAATATTCAAAAAATAAGACAATATTCAATAGGATTAAAAATATAAACATAGCTACCCTAACTTAACAACTTTAATTTGTTCTTGAAAAATGTTTTAAATGAAAAATGGATTAACTCTTTCATACTTAGCATTGTTTACAAACCAGTTTGTGAAAATCTCCAACAAATGTAGGTCACTCAAGGTCATTCTGCAAACATTTATTTAAGGAATTTGCCAACATTTACATAATTATTACAGACATATGAAAAAATCACATTTATTTATTATTAGTAGTTTTAGGTACAGTATTTCCCAATTGTTTGTATTAAAAAGTTTTTCAAAAAAGTCATGACTAAACTTAAACCAGTAAGTAATAAGCTGAAATAATCATATTAATTACATTTTGCAGTTTTTTTTTCTCTTTTAGTTTGTTGAAGTTAGATTCTAAACTTGATTTTATTTTTACTTTTTTAGTTGTTTTTTTCTATTGATTGTTTTAAGACAAAATTATGTTATCAAATCTATAATAAACAGTCATAAATAACTTGAAACCAATAGAAGGACAGTGAAAAAATTAATTAGTCAAATTAATAAAAAAAACAATTGATATCCAAAATAAAACATTTGATATGTAAAAAAGTATTGTGCCAAGTAAAAATTATGAAATGAAAGTAAAATTTTTCTTGTAAGCTTCTCTTTAGTAAACATCAGCTTGGCACTTCAAAGTAATACCATAAGCATTTACTTTCCAGGAGCAGTTCCATCACTAACTACAAGTGTTCAGTGGATTTATCCACTTGGCCCAATTCTTGCAACTCTGACTCCACAACACTGATAAAAACAGAAAACATAAGAAACATTTTGAAAAAATTGTTTTAGTAAATGTTCATAATAGTTAATTACTTTGTACTTTGCTTATTTTTGTATTTTATTTTGCAGATTATTTTTTTGCACTTTAAATGTTTTAATGTTTTATGAATAGTGATATTTTAATAATATAGAAAGAAAAAGAAAGTCATTTTTTTACCAATGATCTATAACATTTTTAAAAACTGAAAATAGCTATTTGGAAACTAAAGGAATATAAAAATTAAATTAACAAATCATAAACAAAAATTAAATTATAGAAGAATATATGAATATGTGTGGTATGTAGGTGCCTTGGGGACTTTACATAAAATATAATACTGAAATACTGTTTTTCTTAAATATGTATATTTTTTTTTTCTATTGGTAGATGGTGTGCTAAATTTTTCATAATGCCTGAATTTCAAGTTTAAAATATTAGTTATTAGTTTATATTGAAAAATTTTTTTATATTTCATTTGAAATTGGCCAATTATTTGGTAATATTGATTCATTGTACTAAATTATAATTTGTCTTATCTAAAGTAAAGAGCAATAAACAATATATCCTTGCAAAAAACAGTTGTATATATGTATTCATAAAATATGATGTGTGAAAATAGCATTGATGTAATTAGAGATTGGAAATGAAAATTTTGCAGAATTATTGAAAATGCAGACATCCAATGTAATAGTCTCACTATAATTTTGGAGATAGGCTTTTCTGCTACAGTGCATGTTTATAATGCACAAATTTGTTCATGGTTGGTAGATAAAGAAATAAAATTATCCAAATAAATATTGCTAGCTTATATGTGAATTCTCACTAAATGACTATGTTTTACACTATCAAGAAACATCAGTGAATATGAAAATGCTACCCAACCAAACTAGATATCCATGGAAAAATATACACAATATTTCTCTCACTCCATTTCACTAGTGTGTATTGCAATGTTCTTCAAATTTTGTGTACTGTACTTGATAAAAACATATTTGATATAGTATTCCAATTATGAGTGAGCATCTATTATAAGAATGCTAGTAGGGAACAAAAAGAAATGCTTTAAGGTTTGAGGGGGATACTTGAAACAAAGCATTTTGAAAAGACTGCAGATTTTTGGGTGTTTTATCTCAAATTCTATTTCTCTATATAAACTTTATTGTTTTTATTGTGAAAAATTGTATAATGCAGTGATTTTTTTGGAACACATACTGCATTATAGGAGAAATGACTATATAGAAAAACATTAATATATGTAAAAGTAATTATTATTTAATGTAATATTATAATTGTATTAATAACAAAATATTTGAGAAATATTTCTAACATTAATTTACTTTCAGGCATAACTTTAAATTAGTATTTGGAGTTGATATCAATGAAAAATTAAATAAAGCTGAAAGATTACTTTATGGTGAATCCCAGATGACTCATGCTATGGTTATTACAGGAATGTCTTTAAATGTAAGTAAATTAATTGTTATGATTAAAAACAAAATATTAAAGAACATATGGAAGTATTGATTATTTTGGAGGAAAACCTATTTCATTCCTGTGTGATGTTTCTATGGATTTTTAGATTCAGACTCCACTCCCGTGACACCAAATTGTGAGCCACCAGGGAGGTTGGGAAGTCCTCTCCTTCCGGCCACAGGTCGGTGACCTACTTTCTTGTCAAGGATGGCGTTTCGTTCAGTTACGCATTACACGAGTGGAGGAGAGTCGGAGGGGTCGATGATAAGACATTGGCTAAGTCGAGTAATGACACCATTTAAAAAACCAAAACAAGAGTTTATTAAACTAACTAACTAAATAAAATCTTGCAAAACTCCTTAGACTTCGCGGATGAGAGAGAGCATTTACAATAATATTTCATACCTCTGGGATAATATCGGATGGATACTTCTGACTTAAAGGTTTCGAAAAGCAGTGCTCGGTGTGGCACAAGGTCTTCCAATTAAGGGCGTACAGTAGGTATGAGGGGAAGATATGGCCCGTCTTCGTCGTTGTCTGTTCAATTGGCAACTCCCCCGAGAGGGGAAGGAGTCGGGCTTTTATACTTTTTTCGATGGGAAAATTAGTCAGGTGATCAATTGTTTTAGCAAGTGTGGGGTTAAAGGTGGTGATCGAATGACAATAATATGACGAATTTGCCTGTAAGTGTAAACTGTGCGCGATTTGATCGTGAGAATGTTTATAGTTAAACGGAAAGAGTTATAAATTTTTCATGCACTTTATATTTCGTTTTTGTAGGTCCAAATTCCTTTAGTTAAAGGAATTTTAATTTACATTTATTAAAATTTTAAAGGGTTACTTTCTTTTATGAAATTATATGCACTTTGAATTTCACACCTGCATTTATTTGCTATTGAGTATAATAAGATTATATTTCCTAATTTAAATCTAATTTTCTAATTGAAAATAAATAGCTAACACAAAGAAAAATATATTTGAATAAATAAGTAATGCAATTCAGTGTTTAAAAATTGAATCTTATAAACTAAAAATAAGATAAATGCAATTGATCTAAATAACGTTTTTATATTTTATAATTTTTGTTTTTATGATTACTTCAGAGTGAAGGGAAACCTGTTAAATGGAGAGTTGAAAATTCATGGGGTGATGACAAAGGAGAAAAAGGTAAATTTAAATTAATATTATAGAAAATAATGTGTAGAATTATCAAATAGAAATCTCATATCTACTTATATTTTAAGTGCGCATCCTCTTTAATGAAATCTTAAAAATTTTAATATAATAAGAGCAATGTTTTCTCTATTACTTTTCTGGCTGTTATATATAACAGAGGGATAGTATGTTGATTGGTCAAAAAAAATGACCCCAAGATTTTTATATATTTTGGGTTCAGGACACATGGAAAAAAATTATTTATTTATTTATTTATGTATTGATATTAGTGTGTGTGGGGGTGCATGATTTTGTTTACCCTATGCTTTTTGTCAAAAATTTTTGAAATTTTGCAAGGAGGTTTGTTATTAGGGAATCCCCCTGGATTGACACCAATAAATTTTGGTGATTAAAGGTTGGGGTGGAGAGATAAAAGGGGTCGTGTGTAGTAAGGTCAGACTTAATGATGATTTTACTTGTTATTAGCATTTGCAATTTTTTATAAAACCCATCCCTACTCTTAAAATTAAGTTTTTGCCATTTTATAATAATTGAAAATATAAAAAAAAAATTTAATAAAATATGACAACAGATGGCATCACCAAATGTTGCTGGGAAAGTTAAGCAACTCTTTGCTGGATTTTTTGTATGGCTGTGGGTGTCAAAATGCACCTGTGTAAAGCATTTTCAGACAAATATGTGCAATATTTTAAAATTGTTTTAATTATAACTAGGGACATATATGATATTTAAAAAAAAGGTATTAACTAACTGTAAAGTGCAAATTTATTAAAATATTGATAACTCTACACCTTCTATACTTTTCCAGCAATGTTTTAACCAAACAAACATTTTTAACCCTGTTCAGAGGTCTGCATCAGATTGGAAAATGTAAACATTACAAAATTAATAAAAGAACTGCGTTCTAATGGCAGAATTATAACAGTTTATTTTAAATTTACAACATTGTGGAAATTTAAGAATAACATTATACTTTACAAATGTTATGTTGGTGATATATTAACTATTTGGAAGACTAAACCAAATATTAATGAGATCATATGGACTTTTAATGACAACAGGTATGGTTTAACGTTAAAATTAGTTTAACGTAGTTACACAGGTTTATTGAAAACCAAGTAACTCTTTCTTTCATCCTTTCCAATTCTAGTGATCCACCTTCCTATAAAATAGCAGCATGTAAAACATTGGTGCAAAGGGCATACACGCATTGCTCTAATATTATGACAAAATGAAGGAGATAGAGAATATTTAAAAATTAGCTAAAATCATACAGAATAGTGTTAATAAATAGCAGCTTAGTAGTAATAGGCAGTGTTCATAAACTTATAACAATGAACTATGACCCAAGGCTTCTACATATAAAACACTAGCAAAACAAATGAATGGTAGAATAGCTTATAGATGTAATCCAACTATATTTAAGCTACTAGCTAATGGTAAAGATTCTATAGATCAGAACTTAGTTTCAACAAATGCTTTATCTGTAATATTAATTATGTCAAGAAAGAAGCAATTCACTGACAATGATGTGGTTTACATTTAAAAAAACAAAAGTAGAAGGTGCTACAGTTAATCAAATTGCTAAAGAAATTTATAAGTCTGTCTCAGAAATATATAAAGTTATTGAAAAGGGTGAAAATTGGAAACTAAACCAAGATATGGAAGACCAAAAGTGACTTCTGAATGAAAATGAATTTTAAAAGTTGCTTCAAATTCTACATCATCTGTTCAAAATATTGCAGTAGATTTGGATCATAAAGTAAGTAAAAGCACCATTCATAATGTATTAAAATCATCACCAACAATTACTTACACAAGAATGGATAAACAACCTCCCTTAAAACCACAACACATTGAGGCAAGGTTAGAGTGGATATGAAAACACATGTTGTGGAAAGAACAATGGAAAAACTGAAATGTTTAGTGATGAAAAAGATGGAATTTAGATGACCCTAATGAGTGAGCATGATCTTAGAAATAAACCTAGAATATATTTCAGTAGACAAGAAGGAGGAGGAAGCATTATGGTTTGGCAGGATTTGGATATGATGGGAAAACTTTAATTGCATTTATTTCTGGACAGCAAAACTCAGAACTATCAACAAACTCTTCAATAGAATCTTTTATCTTTTGGAGAATAAATTGCTGGAAATAATTGGATATTTCAGCATGATAATGCTCCTATTTATCTCTCTCACTCAACTCAAACCTGGTTTACAAAAAGTAATGTCAATTTCATAAGTGGCCAGCTAGAAAAATAGACCTGAACCCTATTGAAAACCTTTGGGGCATTATATCTAGACAAGTATATGCCAATTTCAAGCAGTATTCAATCTTACATGACCTAAAATCTGAAATTGAAAAGTGTTAGAATAATTTACCAGAAGAAACCATTAAAAATCTTATTTTAATAATGGAAAATAGCTTGAGTTAATTTTATGTAAAAGAAAGTTATTTAAGCATCAAACATAAAATGTATTATTTATTTTCAATAAATAATAATTTTTTAAATTACCTAAACTTTTTGGACACAAACTGTTTCAATTTTTTTAAATAAATCATTGTTTAAGTTCTTATAAATAATAAGAATTACTAATTGATGTATTAAAAACATTTATATTAAATAAAATAACAATATTTATATTTAAATAAAATTTTTCACAAAAAAAAAACTAAATTATCTAAACTTTTTGGACAGACCTTATCTGTTTTGATTTTTTTAAATTGAAATAATAGTTCTAAATCTTCAATCCCAGCCTAGACTTGATGCTTGAAATGTTCTCATAGTGAATGTTAATTCCATTATTGTTAGGAACTCCCACCAGAATTCAGTTAAGCTCACTTTGATTTAGAAAGATGCTTTTTGACATTCATTGGCCTTATTCAGTCACAATTTCCAGATTCATGACATTTGTAATGGCAATAGTTGAAATTGGCATAGAAATGACACTGCAGGAGAGGACGAGTAAATTAAATTGATAATTGAGAACAAATGTACAAAAATTAATAAATGTAAGGAGAAACAAACATATACAGTGGGTGATCGGTTAATGAACACTTTCATGAAAGATTTTTATGTTTGGACAACAAACACCTCACAGAACAAACACAAGAAGAAGCAACATAAAATAATGAATAGTGATTGATCTTCCCTTGTCTTTAGGCAATAATTCGAAACTTTTCGGAGTGCGGGAGACTCATCAACGCTCGACCCGGTATATACTGATCAGTTAGTATTCCTCTGAACTTTGAAACTCTCCCTTGTAATTTCAGCCTATTATTTTTCTGATGAAAGAATTTTTTTATAGTATTCACAAGGTTCAGGCAGGCACTCTAAGTTTTGCATTAGTTTTTATTTTCAAAAGGTGAGAGTATAATAGCAAAGGTAGAGAGTGGGCAGATTTCTGATGTTACTGGGCAGTATGGCTTGAACAGGTCTACAGTAGGTTGCAGTTCAATCTTATATAAGAAAGATACAGTGTAATCAAGAACACTCAAGCAGCTAAAGGAGTAATAAAAATCACATTTGAGAAATAAAAACATTGAAGAGCTCATAATGGAACCTGAAACGGTTCCATTATGAGCTCTTCAATGAAGAATTCTTGAATGAAGAACATCAAGAAATGCAGTGAGATATGTTTTCTTCTGAAAAAGAGGATTATTGCCAATATCTGCTATTAAAGATATTTTGAAAAAGTGGGAAGATGTCAGAACAATGGTCTTAGAATGACATCCAAACCAGGTTGAGTTTAAACCAGGTTGCTTGGGATCTCTACAATTGCAATGCTATTGATTACTCCTGAAGAGAGAAAAGCAATTGACATTAGACAGATTCTTTTAAAAGGTCAATTTTTCAAAGAAAATATTTCCTCAAAAAATTGATGAAACTTCATGGGTTAATTTCACAGAAATAACTGCCTTTTTTGCCTGGACCTCATTTAATCAGAGACAAAAGCTTATCTTCGTATTCTTTATTTACTATTCTTTATTAGTAAATAAGTAAATAAAGAATACGAAGATAAGCTTTTCTCTGATTAAATGCCATTCAGGCAAAAAAACAGCAGTTATTTCTGTAGAATTAACCAATGAAGTTTCATCAATTTTTTGAGGAAATATTTTCTTTGAAAAATTGACCTTTTAAAAGAATATAAAGAAAACCACACCATTGATATAATACATATCTATTACTTACAATTAGACAGATTCTTCAACCACCACAAACAGAAAAAACATGACTAATAAAAATGCAAGACTGTGTATATATGTATTTTTATTATTACATATAAATAAATGTAGTAAGAAAGTATATATTTTTTATTTTTTGGAGTTCCCAGAACGAATTAATCATATTCCCATAAAAGCCTATGAGGTAAATTGATAATTGGTTAACAAACAATTGGGATAGTGAACAAAGTCTTGGAATGGATTATGTTCGTTAACTGATCACCCACTGTATAAACATATATCAGGTAATTATTGTTGTTATATATCTGCGGTAATTATCTGATACCTAAGGTTACTTATCCCATGATGTTTTGTTTCTAACTATTATTTACTAATTATGATGTGATCAACTATTTTGTTAGTATTATTCATTAATTTCACCATGTTTATAAATGACATCAACACTGGAAGGGAGAGGGGGTTATAACAAATCAGACAAGGGGTGGGAAGGGATTTAGCTTCAATGGACATCCATTTTATTTCATTAAATGTCATACAATTTATGCATTTTATTATATTTCAAAATGTTTTGAATGTTTTGTTTCTACTTATGGTATCTACCATTCATAAAATGATAAAATTTTTAAGGGAGGTTGAGTTTTGTTGCATGTCCAAAGCGGGGGAGTTATAAACATGGACAAAGTGGACAAGAGAGAAGGGGGTAAAAATTTCAAGAAAAATGCAAATATAATGTATGAACAGCCTCTAAGTTATAAATAAGTCTAAGCAAAAAAGTTACTGACATATGGCAGTGTGTAATCAGATGTTCTCTTGGATATGTGGTATCTCATACTTGCAACATGATGGAGCCTGCCTCATTATGCCAAACAAGTGGTCCAACATCTTTGTTGCTTCTTTCTAGTGATGTGCTGGATATCTATATTCGTATCCGAGGGAAAAAAGATCCGTATCCGTTACTTTTTTAGCAGGTCTTTTATCTTAACGAATTTCATTACTTATATGAAATTTTAAAGATAGGTAGCAATAAAATACTAATAACTTCAATTCAAATCACTTTTTATTTCTTAAAATTACATATTTGGTACATTCATATTGCAAAAATTTTATCATGCAAAATTCATTTACTATCGTAAAATATTTCCCTGTTACACTACTAAACTTTTTTGTTGACATTGTTTTTATTTTAATTTAACTCAACACTCTCCAAAAATACAAACATAATCTATGCTATCCTGTGTTACACTAAACTATAAACAAAAACACACACAGTGCAAGTCAAAACACATCGCGTTACTAACGCAAAGCGAAAACTATTGGTCCAAGGTCACACACACCGCCGCCGACTGAGTACGAAAGTTGAGATCTGTATCTGTATCCGTATCCACGGATATACATTTTTTATGATTTGACACAACTACTACTTTCCCAATCAATGAATCTGTGGTAACAGTCTCATTTTCTAGCCAATACAAAACCCAGATCTTGATTCTCTTGGATTTCTGTTTATGGGGTTGAGCGAAGGTGAAATTTGCTCCACAAAGGTAAATACACATTAGGAACTCACTCACATTACAGATGCTATTACTCAGATCAAGGAATGACAGGGTGATCTCCAACAAGTCATTGGTCACATTTTGACACATATTGATGACTACATTGATGTGAGTGCAGCATTTTCAAACATATAACAGACTTCACACTGGAGCACTTTCTAATACCATGACAATCACAGATATTTACTGTATGACATTATTACTTATCTTCATAGTACTTTATGTAATGGGATTTGTGATGGTTATTGATACTGTTTGTATGAATATTTTTGCTTAGAATCACTCATACTATTATCTTCCAGAATATTGCAGATTACTCTTGAATCAGACCATTCAGGAGTAATCTGCAACATTCTGAATATTCTGTATTTAGGAATTATTTGGACCATGAATATTTTGTACATAGATGTCTTGCTGTCAGCAGTGCATGCAAGAAGTAAAATTTGTTGTTGAATCATTGTTATTTTGATAAATACCAGGGCTGCAGGTTTGGAGTCAGATGAAAATTCATTAATACGGGAGTTGATAAAAATGAATTAGTTCCAACTTTTTTTTTTTTGTTATATACTTTATATTAAGCTTCTAATAGGATCTTTCATTACATGAGCTTCCTGTCAATATCTTATTTTATGATGATTCCTTTACTTTATGTTCTTTCTTTGCATATCACTACTGTTGATTTTCTTTTCAGAAATTTATATTTGAATATATTGTATTAGTTAATTCTAAATTCTTATTGCCAAAACACACTCAAATAAAATGGTTAAGAAGTCTCAGGTTAAATCTGGTATCTTCATATATTTTACTATAACCACAGATGGAAAATTTTTTGTCTGTAAATGTGTAGTTTATGAAGGTGATAGTGGTGATGAAAAATTCTGTGAAGTAAGATAAGTACTCCTAGTTTTGATAGGAATGCCTGGTGATTCATTTGGTAGTGATCAATCAAAGTATATTTTAAATTATTAGTTAGAGGTAGGACTCAGTTTAAGTCAGATCTTCTAAAATTCTATGAATAAGGGGTTTGATTCCATAGCCCTCAAATGCACACCTAATCTTCAATTTACTTAGTTGATTATGGTGAAATATGGAATTTATGTTCCTATTTTTCATATAAATGTTGGTCTTGGGTTAAATGAAATTCTCATGATGTATGCCAAGTAAATCAAGAATTATCTTGATTTACATGGTATGTTGGTCTTGAAAAAATTTCATTGTTCAGGTGTATTAATGTTTGTAAATTAAGTTCCCCTCCCCTTCTTCCTGGAAACCATTTGTACACATTGTTTCTGTCCAAAATTATAAGATATGTCCAAAAACATTTTTAACGTTCACTTTTCTTGCAATTTATCATTTAAATTATTTCATAAAAATATAAACATCCAAATCCTATAGTTATATATTAAAACCAAATGATTTCCAAATTATATTGGGCTATACTATTACAAACTACTATTTTTGCACTAGAGGCAGGCTTTAGGTACCATCTCTTGCAAAGTTTAATTATAATTATTACATTTATCAAGAGATGGTGTCTAATGCAAGTCTCTAGTGCAAAATTACTTAGCATTTAATTAATAATAATAGTAATATAGCCCAATATAATTTGGCAATTATTTGATTTCATAAAATTATCTATTATTTAAATAATTTCTTCCTTGACTCAATTGTTGAAAATAATTTTATATAATTTTTTTGCAGGTAACTTGGTGATGTCCACAGACTGGTTCAAAGAGTTTGTGTTTGAAATTGTTGTGGATAAAAAATATGTTTCTGAAGAAATCATGGCTGTATTTAAGCAAAAACCAATTGTACTTCCTGCCTGGGATCCAATGGGTTCTCTTGCTAGATCTTAATATTGGAAGTTCTGTTTTATTATACATAAATGTATATGTATACAAATGCAAATATATATATATATATGTATGTATACACACAGTTATTTAAAATTCATAGAATCAAGTTTATAGTAAAGTTGGTATTGCTTTTTAATTTCATAAATTTTATGTGCCAAACTCAATAGCTTTAAAATTTTTTCTTCTTTAGACTTTGAAAATTTAGTAATAAGTCAAAACATGCAGCATCATAAATTTCAGTGAAATAGTTCCACTAAAAGAATTAAATAATGTATTTTAAATGCCAAGCTCTGAAAAAATTTACGTTTGTTTAAGTTCAATAAAGAATTTGCAATAATCATCACCATTGTTTCTTTTCAAACTATTTTTCTTTCTTTCTTGAAAGTAATTGATTTAATTTACAGAAAGTTATTTACTGACCATATTAACAATAAAAAAAAATAGTAGCTACCGGTATATGTTTTTCATTATCTCAGAACCCTCCCAAATTGACTCTTTGTCAATGATTTCCCTTTCATTTGTCAAATCTGTAAAGGATCTCAGAATAATAGCTAACATTATGTTTCAAACTAAAAAAGTTATGAAGGGTCTCAATCCAATGTGAAATTGTGGGTGTTTTCATAACTCATATTCTCCATTCATTATTCTTTGCAAACTCATTTATTCAGAAAATCGTTTACAGGTGGTTGTCTGCAGCACCTTTGCTTCTTAATCAGGAAGTGAAGGAACTTGATAGGTTAGCAATTCTATTTAACAATAAGTAAAACCTACCTTTTGTAAACTTTGGTAATGTTGCTTGTAAAAGGTGAGCCTAACTTTTAAAAAACATGTTATTTATTTCAATAGTTTATTTTTACTTTCTGGCTGTTATGTTTAACAACCCCTAAGCAAAAGTATGGAATACTTTGTATTTGTTATGGAAAAATTATTTTAATCCTGAAACAATTAAACAAAAAAACTTTTTAACTTTTAACAATTGGCAAATATAACAGAAATATTAAAATATTTACACACCAAACAATGTAAAGATATTTGCATAAATTACAAAGTTACAGCATTTTAAACAAAGTAAGAGTTGAACAAAAGTATGAAATACTGATATTTTGTACAGCCACTTTTTGCCCTAATTACAGCTGTAATTCTTTGTGGCATTATTGAAATGAGTTTTTTACAGTCATGTATCAACCTCTGACAATGATTCTGTCATCTTTAATTCTACTATGGTTATAGCTCATAAACAGACTGCAGGATGGCCAAGTGGTGGCAGCCCACTGCTCTGGGGGACCTGGGATCGAAAAACCCCAGGAATTTTTCGGGGGTGGTCCGACCAGATATGTCTGCCCCATTGTGGGCCTAGCCAAACCCATAATGGGCTTGCTAAAAGAGGCCCTCTTAGTGTCCACAGGGCAGAAAGCGTTTAAAAAATATATATCTTATTGAAAAATATCCTGAAATATCCTAACGATATTTGTCAAATGCACTTTTTACTTTCCCTGCTGTTATGTATACATAACAAGGGAAAGTATAGGAATCATGTCAAATTTTACCTTCCAGAGTGTTTTTGCAAATCTTGCGTTTCGCTATTTCATTTAATTAATATCTCAGAATGAAGTAATGATTAAGAAACGAAATTTAGCATGATGATAGCTTCTGTGTAAGTGGATTGATGCTATTAATTTTCGTGGTTAAAGGTTAAGAGGGGATCACTTGTCATATCTCGAGTATGGTTGGATTTAATGACAATTTTATTCATTAGCATTTACATTTTGATGATGATCATCTCTACCCTCAAAATTAAGCATTTTGCCATTTTATAATAAATAATAATTTTTAAAAAATCATAACAGATGGCACTACACAGTTTTATTCATTATAACTATGACATTTAGAAACTTTAACAGCCGGGAAAATTACGCACCTCGTTGCTGGGGTTTTTATTTTTGAAATATCTAATTTTTGGGTGAGATAAGCAAATTTTTGTAGCATTGTAAGAAAATAACAAAAAATTTCAGGTATAGGATGAGATTTAACATAAAAAAATCTTGATGATATGAAACCGTGCTTTACAATTTGTTTATGCTTCTAACACAATAAAGTGCTATAAAATTAAGACACTTGGCGGGTTTTTTCATCTTTATTTAGTTGACTAAATAAAGATGAAAAAACCCACCAAGTGTCTTAATTTATAGCACTTTATTGTGTTAGAAGCATAAATAAAAAAATCTCTTATGAGGTATATCTTTGCCTGAAATCTTTTGTACTGTATTTAATAAATAAAACTAAAGATGTAAATTTACATATACAATAAACATATAGTTCTACTATTCGCTGCGTTTCATTTGCGGTGGATTACATGTAGTGTGCCCTGCCAGTTAAAAAGTTTAAAACAAATTTTCCTTATTAACTAAAATCTATTTCGTATTGTTAATTTGAAAGCTTTTATTATGCACATAGAGCATAATAAAAGCTTTCAAATTTATCAAAAACCTTGATAAATAAATAGCAGAAATGCTTCATTGAATTACAACTTTAAGCAACGAGCTTACTGTGTTTCTTCATCGCTCACTCAAGATGGCGACTTCCGTCCTGTGCGCGCATATGCTAATTTCACTTGATTCCAACAGCTGTCGCTCCAGTATTACAGCACCTTAGTGAGGATGTATAACCTGTAAATGGGATGGCGCGGTGGCAATCCTTAGTAGTACTTTGAACGCTCATAATTATTTGGAGTTATTGGAATCTAGTCTTAAAACACCTGCAGATCATAAAGTAAATTATCATATGGCTTTCAATAAAAATATTTTAAGTACAGTAGACCCCTTATAAAGCTTAGATACGTTCCACGTTGTTCGAATTTTACATTGTAGGAATCATTAAATACATGATCCAATCGCATCCCAATACGTGTGAAGTTTACGGACTAAGGCTGTTTGAAAGGTTTTCTTCTATAAAATTAACTGATTCTAGACTAATTCCACTCAACATTTCCAAAACACGTATAATTTTTTGGGAATAATCCGTATAAACTATGCTATAAACAAAACATTGTAGGATTACTTACCGAGTGTGCACCGTTCGATTACGCCGTTGCTCAAGCTTGTTTTCGTCACGGAACAGCGCACGAAACGGCGGCCGCGATTTCTGATAACAAATTTTTCGCAGAAAAATAACTTGACTTTTGGAGACATCATTAATATAAATAATTTTTATGGCCGTTGAATAAGAAATGTTTCTTTCACAAGAAATGTATAAAATTACAGTGTTGTATTAGACTTACGGTACCTAATTTACATATTGTTCAGACGATAATAAACTCAATTTACCCGCCTAAACTCTCCGTAGCATGGCACCAGGTGGCGGAAAGCATATATATAATTATAATAAAGTTACAATACATTAAGTTAATATATAATTATATACATAGTACCTAATTTATATATAATTATATGTACAGTACCTAATTTATATATAATGCTGTACAGACGATAGCAAACTCAATTTAGCCGCCTAAACTCTCCGTAGCGTGGCGCTGGGCGGCGGCGGAAAGTAGTTCGGCTGCTCGTTCACTATTGATTCAGATTCGATCAATCTTGTCACAACAGGGGTCGGCGATGACGTTTTATGAGTCACTTTTTACGAATACTGCTACAATTTTTTCGCCACGTTATAGGGGGGTCGACTGTAATATTAAAGATCTGATGAGCAAAAATGTTATATCAATTTTATTGTTGCTATTACAAAAATAGGAATATAGAGGAAGTAATATGTACTGTACTGTACTGTACTGTGCATCCAGTAACAAAAAATTGCACGTAATAAAACAGCATCCTTCCATTACAAGATTGATTATTTGAGCTAATTTAATCCTAATTATGATGTTGACATTACTTTTCTTCTGATATGTGCAACACTAGTTTCCTTTGATGGTTAAAAAGTTATCCACCAGAAGAGTTTCTAGCTTTGTGAATATCATTACTATTTCAATAAGTGGGAACAAGTTTTTTGATTTATTACATATCGGTAATTAATCTTACACGTCAATTAAAAGGTGTTTTTTTAATTAAAAGCGTTTGATATTGAAAACATTTTCTACATTTCTTAATGAGCTGTTATATTGGATCTAATATTAAACATTTAAATCACGTGTATATTCAAACATTAATTTTTAAACATTAGATTTTCAGATGCGTTTTGAAAATTGATAGAGAAGTGGTATTTTGACATATATGCAGGATTGAACAATAAGATGAATTAAGAGTTTATTGCATTTCTTTGTCAATTATTTTTATCTTTCGCATCTGATATATAAATGAACACCATTTACAAGCAAAAGCAAGTATTGATATTCCATACCCAGACAGTAACAAACAAAAGACACCTTGCAATTGTTCCATCTTGATCACATGATCCTCAATGTCTTTGCGGTGATTTATACGTGTAGCAAAGTCGTCTTCCATCCATTTCTGTAAAATTCCTGTTGCCAACAAACGATTAATTCTGAAAAAATAAATTTTTTAATTACATTCTCTAGTTTTATTTTTTTAATTTGAAATTCAGAATGGAACAAACAATTTTTCATCTTTGACTCTTGATACAAATAAATTTAATATTTTATTTAAGTAATATATTATACTTGTATGTAGATATCTACTATATAGAACAAAATAATGGGCATTTTCTGTCGCGGTGTGCCGAAAATGGCCACTAGGGGCGCCCCTAGCTATTATTTAAATTATTTTATACTGAATATTATACTGTAAAAATATATTATTATTTTTATTTGTAATTTAGTATGCCCCAATTTAATTAATTATAACTTAATAATTATTTAATTATTAATTAAGTTATATATTTCCAAGTTGGCAAATAACAAGATCAGTCAAGATCTAATTATATTTATATAAATAAATACAATTACATGACAACACACCATTTGATTCTATTAAATTGGGTGTGTAGGCTTTATAACCAGCCACAGTTGTGCCCATTATGGATTGTAACCAGCGGCGCGGTCGGGAGGGAAAAGGGAATCTAAAGAGAATTACAAAAATTTGTCAAATTTCAAAAAATGAAAATAACACGTGCTTTCTTCCTTGCTTTTTTTTATAGTGCTTAAATAGCATTACAAAAGAATTTTAATATAAATTTTATGATAGAAGCAAAACTTTTTGTCAGTTTTTTATTTGAAGTTCTCGGTTACACAATTATTTTTTTACCTTCAAGATTAACACAAATTTAAGTCATAACCTTAAATGAAGTTGATTTGCATTGACACGAAAACAGCTTGCTGGCAAAGTGGTAAGGCATCAGTCTACTGTTCTGGGAATTCAGATTCAAGTCAATTTAAACTCTCAAGGATTTTTCATAAATAATCTATTTTGGATATGACAGGCCCGATCTCTCATTTCCATTGTGGGTGAGGCCAAATCCATGATGGGCATGGAAAGACTCCCTTATTTCCATAGGGTAGAAAAAGTTTTTAAAAAATAGTATATAAGATGATAATATTTTAGTTATGAATACAGTAGAGTGTCGATTATCCGAAAGAATTCCAGTCGGCAAATTTAAATTTTCGCCAGTGCTGTGGCGCTGCAATCTTTGGCTATGTCTTGGGCTACTCAAATATTTTACGTTTTTGATACTAAATTAACTTCTGAAGTATAATTTTTTATATTTTTCATATTTTTCAATATATTTATTTTGTTTGTACAAAATAAAAAAATAATTTTTAACGATACAATAGTCTTCGTTATGCTTAACATCGACGAAAATTCATCGCGAAGCGACACGCAACTGAGAAAAATTTCAACATGGGATAGGTTAATATATTTTTTCGTACATAATCGGTTATCCGAACAACTCCCGCCCACTCCCGCCCTCCAATTGATTCGGATAATCGATGCTCTACTGTATACACAGCAATCGCAATATTTCTAGAGTTGTAATAATTAAATGTTGCAAAATATCTTTTATTCAAATCAAAATTTACGAACGAGAATTAAAGTGATCATTTTGTTAGAATTCTTTAAAGCAATGGTAATTTTTTTCAAAAAATACATACATGTTATTTAATCGCTCTCCGAATGAAGAATTCTTGTGAAAGACCATGCCAGCATATAACCCATAAAGAAAATCGTCGGAAGTAACAACATCATCACCAAACTGGGCAACATAATTTTGAGTAACTCCTTTGGGAATAATAATTGCAAAATTACGTTTTAAAACTCGTTCAAAACCTTCTTGTAGGGTTTCTACTTCATTCTCTTTGTTTCTGATCATGGAAAGTGCTAAAGACTTTTCCAAATCCGTCTGACCATTCTGAGAAAAAATTTATAAAATATTTATAAACCAGGGAAAAAATCATTAATTAAAATTAATTGTCTGTACAAATCTACAATGTATAGTCGAGGATGCAGAACTCTTTTATATATATATATATATATAGCACCTTAATGTAAATGTTTTCAATAATACATACTGATTTAAATGAGTTACTTGAATCAATAAAGGTAAAGAAATCTTTTTATGCAAATTCACTAGCGTAGCGAGGGGGCAAGGAGGTCTATCATGCTCCGGGCGCCACCCGCAGAGGGCGCCAAATGATCTCCAAGACAAACAAGATTTGTTTCTGGAGGGGGGAGGAGGTGCCAATGAAGTGTCCTGCTCCGGGCGCCAGTTATGTACGCTAAGCTACTGTGCAAAATTTTCAGGTCTATCTAGCTACGCGTAGTGGAGACTAGATACAGTACGACCTGGTACCTGTTTCCTGATTCTGAATGTGTTGAGGTGTCACGTCATACGAATTCCCTTAGAAACACGAATCAGCACGTTCCTGTCACGTGGCTCTCAACACGTTCGTGCTGCTATTCCCGTAAAATGGACACTAGACTCCTATAACAATAATTTGATATTTAAAATACCCGAATATAGAAAAGTTTGAAATACAGTAGAGCATCGATTATCCGACCCCCGATTAACCGTCACGTCGGTTAACCGACCGTTCTAGTCGGCAAATTCAAATGTCCGCTAGTGATGTGGCGCTACAATATTTGGCTATATCTTGGCTACTTTGGCAGTGTTTTAGCTGGCAACACTGGCTCGACCATGAAAGGGAGACAGTATTTAAAGGAGGCTTAATTTTCTAATTTTTAACGATACAATAGCGACGATTATTATTTTTAAAAAAAATATTTGTTAGGTTTAACATCGATGAAAATTCAACGCGAAGTAAGTTAACAGCGATATACTAATATACTAATTACATGAGATATACTAATATACTATACTAATAATGTATTTTTTCATATTTTTCGGTTATCCGACCAACCCCTGTCCCCAATTGAGTCGGATAATCGATGCTCTACTATATTAGGTGTTTGAATTTTGTGGAAAATATTTCTATAAAGTAAAAATTGAAATACCATAATCTTCTGATGAACTATCTGTGATCGTACAGCTCCACATTCGTAAAGATTTAAACGGCACGCTTCAGCCAACTGAATAAAGTTTCGTGGATAATATTCATAGGAGGGTAGAGTCAGTAACGACACTAATGTACCGCTGTAGCTACTGGTAATTATTAAAGAATAAATTAACCAGACACCAAATATCAAGCGAAATGGAGTAAGAATCCACAAATAATTGCTGCTTTCTGTAAATAAAGAAGTAAAATGTATTTCGTAATTTTTAGAAATTATTCTAGGAAACATACCTTGATATATCAAACTGCTGAAGAGAGACCAGAGAATAGAAAAGAAGCTTTGCTCTTTTCGATGCGATTTAAAGTAATATTTTGAGAGTAAATAGACGATGAAAGAAGTAATGGGTAAAGACAATAATATGCAAATCCATAACTGCAATTAAGATAACAGATTATTGGAAAGAGAAATAAAAATAAGAACAATGTATGAAGAGTTACCTTACAGTTAATGAAAAGGAGTACAGGAAAGCTGTGATCTTAGGTTTTACTCTTGGAGAACGCAAGTAAAATGTCACTTTGTCGTACAAATATAGTGAAGAAAACGAAAAATCTTTGTGACGTTCGTAAGAAAGTCCAATTCCGCAAACGCCTAAGTCTACTTCCTAAATAAGTTTAAAAAAGTTGGAATGTTCAATTCTAGTGTTGAACAAATTAGGAAATTTCGGGCTCTATGCAAAATTTAGGAGATCGATCCCAAAAATATCAATTTTATTTGTGATTCTTACTACAAATCCTCTTGGAGAAACTGCGAATATTACCATGATCATATTGTTCACTATATAGTGAAATTTTATTTGTAAATGTTTGTCAGATCCAGGGTCTAGAGTTCTAGGCAATTTGCGTAGGCCTACGCCTGGCTTCGATAAATTCTCGTTCTTAGATAATTAATCTAAATTTTACATAAAATAAAAATTTGGAGTTAAAATTTCGACAAACTTATTCTATGACTTATGAAATGAAAAAGAGATGGTCATATTCAAACAATTTATTTTACTTACTTTTAATTTAAAGGGTTTTTTTAAATTTTCTTATGCAATTTTACATAAAATAAAAATGAACAAACAAGTTATATTTTATTTTATTCTATGACTTATGAAATGAAAAAGAGATATATCTATTAAATCAACTCAAGCCAACTACTATTTGTTTCCTGCTAAATGTAATGTGTAATCTAAATAAATACTTGATACTTAAAATAATGCTGTTCTATTATTTATCTTACTAATATATTTTTTGAATGCAAAACTTTTTCACTTCATTATTATNTAAATTTTACATAAAATAAAAATTTGGAGTTAAAATTTCGACAAACACTTTTATATTTAATAAATTACAAAAAATATTTATATATAGGATTATTGCGCCCATATGATCAACGTGAGAATGGCACTTGCTTGCCTCTCCAGAAGATTCGGATTCGAGTCCTGGTCTTGCTCAGAAATTTTCACTGATGAGTTGCTCCAGGTTTTTAAGTTTTTCGAATTTTTAAGGAATTTTTTACAACTGGAATATTTTACATAGGTAAAAACTTATTCAGTTATTTAATATTCATTTTATTATAACCCCCTTTCCATCTTAATTTATACTTTTAGTTTTTAGATCACATTCGTAATATAAAATCTATAATTGTGGTTCCCAGGTAAATTCGTTTTGGTTTTAACTTTTTGGAAATTAAAAAAAATTATATCATATATTCATTACTCTGCATATGACATTATTGGTATATATACCTTTTATTGGTTAATATTAAACTATATTTTCCTCGTGACTATACTCAGGGCCAGTGTTTTAAGCAATTGTCAACAGCTGAAGAGGAGCATTCTACAACGTCAATTCAAAATGATGAATTTCGCTGTGTTCTTTTAGATACATTCCAGTATAAGTCCTACATATGTCCAGTTGTGAGATTTAAGGAGTACAACTGAATAGGACAAGAAACTTTGAGGACATAAGTTTAAGCAATTTCCTAGAGCCAGGATCTGACAAATCCGTAAATCAATTTTTAAATTTACACATAAATAAATGAAAGTTTCAGTGTATGAAGAAAAAATATGAACATAGTTTCTCCAGATTCACAGCTTCTCCAAGAGAATACAATCAAAATCGTGTGCAGAGGTAGTTTCTCAGTAGCACCGGTACTACCTCTGCTCTTCTCTCGCCTTTAGATATAATGGTGAATATAAAAAATAAAATTATTAGCTTTTTTGCATAAGCTTGCATTACAAATTTTGCCTAGACCCCGAGTTTTTAAATACAATATTGGGCAGAAATGTTAAAAATGAAAAAGTACAGAATGATCAATATATCACTTCAAATAGTTCTTAAATTTATCTAATAATAGAAATAAGCAGCTGAAAAATTGCGAATATTTCCAATAATTATGTGATGGAATATACGATTTTTAAAAGTTAACAAGAATGTTGTAGTGCTTGATTATTTGTAAGTTAGAGATCCCAGTTTGATCGAATAGTATCTACTGTATTGAACTTTTTATATACAGCCTAATTTAAAGTTGTTCTTATGCTTGCTGATTGAGCCTTTTTATCTTACCACTACATTACTAACTTATCATTCCATTCTACTTAAGGGCTCAACGCCTCTAATTGTTTGAAATCATCTCAGCCATCGTTAATTTCTATCAGCACTGAGTTAAATGGCTGAACTCCTACAAACTGGCTTTATCCCTTCTTTTGATATCTTCAATTATTATTTCCTGTCAATTCCTATTTTAAGGCCAAATGACTGAGGCATTAAAGGCATCAGCCTTTCCTTCTGGGTATCCAAGTTCATTCAGAGTTTTCCGTGATTTGACCCGGATGAGTCAGATATCGTCTCTCTCCACCCTGGCTATTCTATTGTGGACCTGTCCGAATCCGCGATGAGCATAATTTAAAACAGGTCCTCTTATTTTCGTCAGGACAAAAATAATTAAAATTTAAACTGTTAATATAAAAATTTTAATTAAAGTTTTAAAAGTATTGTCACTAAATTAACATAAAAATATATTACTTAAAAAAATCAAACAATTTACATTTATTCGTGTATTTTAGACACATGTCTATTTAGAGAGAAATATAAATGTTAGTTTAAGGAATATTTCTAAAAGAAATCTAAAGTACAGTACATCAATAATTATATGAAAAGTAAAATTTAATATTTTTGCCTTTAGTTGTAGCATTCCAAGTATTCCAGACCACGTTCCATTTCTTTTTTCTCCTTGTAAGAGTTTGCTTGAGTAATGTACTGAACACCTGTAAAAGTATTATAGAGTACTTCTATGAATCTAGAATAAAATTTGTTAAAATGAATGAAATTTACAAGTCCACAATAGCTATATTTTAAAAGAATTTCGTGTAATGAAAATGGAAGTTTTAAGCAACGTGACCAGAATAACATTGTTTGTCAGTAAGTTTATATGATAATTTTTAATATTTTTCCTCGAATTTAGATGCAGCAATGTCACTTTGTCCGTGGTTACGATATATTGCTACTTGACCGATTTTACGTTCTGAAGACGAAATTATTCTGATATAGAAACAGCAATATCATAATTACATGTACTTATAAATGCAACGGAAAACGCTTTACGATAATGCCTATTTTTCAATGACTACATTATAGTAAACATGTTAATTTGACGATTTTAAAATTATCTCTTATTTCTATTATTAGCTATTTTTTGTTTCTTTTATAAAGAAATTTAAACTATATTAATTCAAAGGACTTTCCAAGTTATTCAAAAAGGACTTTATACATGGCGTATATGTTGAAAATGTCCGACACTACGTTATCGATTCACTCGTCGTAGTGGTAGATGAAAGTATTGAAACTGGTAATGGAGAAGCGAGTTCTACACACAACGAACGATTTTCTTCTTATACGTCTTTAAATTTGATAAAAACAAAAAAAAAAAATTCCTTCAGATGATGACATCGAAGATACTTCCGTTGTGACGTGTCGTGAACGTAAGAGTGGTGACTCCTGAATTTGAACAAAAAAAAAGAAAAACCTCTGAATTTAATTATATATAAAAGATGTTTTGAAATTAATAGGGTGTAAATTTTATTATTTGACATACGGACCAGAAATTTTGTCCATTAAATCGAGGTTTTACTGTATTATTTCGAGCTATCCTATGAACCCCCCGTTGTTTCGATTATTTTCAAACAGTAATATAGTGTAGTACGCGATATTTTTACGAGTCTTTTTCAATATTGTATTTAAAATTGGAAGCAGAGAGAACAGAATAAGCAATTATTATAAAAAGTGAACATAATGGTTTTGTTGTTTGAAATATCTAAAATAAATTATTCCTAAATTATTATGTATTCACTCCGGTAATAAGAAAAACCGTATAATTAGAAAATATAGGACATTTATACGAAAAAAGCGTAGCTCTGCCCATTCTCCAAATTAGAAAAGCACTTGCAACATCTACGCCCTTTTACTTTCATGTTTGATGACATCTTACAAGTCAAACGGTGGTTGCAGTTGCAGAACACTACAAGTAAAGGTTTGATTTTTTATCTACCGTGACGATAACTCTCAACATACGAAGAAACTACAGAGATAGGCTGAATATAATAACTTATATTGCAGTTTCGGCACTGTAAGTTATTATATTCAAAATAAAAAACTAGTGAATAATGCCTTCTAATATTCCTCCAAATTTAGAAATATTAAAAAACTCCACTTACTTAAAATTGGTTTTTTCTAAAAAGGTAACAAGCAATTTAACTTCATATCCATATAGTAATTTATCAGGAAGTTCTTGGAAAGAGCTGCAACCCTAAAATTTAAAATTTTCTTTGTATAATAATAATTTTAAATTAAAAAAACAAAAATTAAATGTTTTTTCTTACGTAAAATGTTCCCACTTTGATGTGATTTAACTAAAATAAATTAAAATATAATTTATATATTATTTCATATTTTATGTTTAGGATTGAATTATACTTACCATTTTCTTCTGTTCAATGTTACTAACGTTAGATGAAGCCTTTGCTTGAATATCGTTTGTTGAAAAATAAAGTAAAAAAAGTTTTATCAAATCGTCAAAAAATCTTCTGTTCATTTATAATTAAAAAGGAAAGGAAAATGAATTTATATTTACTAATGTTATATTAATAATTATAATCAATTGTAACATTGTAATTATTAATAAAGTAGGAGCATTTAGCTTAGCCCTTGGATACAGTCATTTTGTAAAGAACGTTAGACGAAAGTAATATAAATTAAAGTATTTAAAATAATTTATTTTATTGGCTGTATTTCTACATTTTTATAGTTTTCTGAGATGTAGTCTCACACTTGTGAATGAGATGGCCTACTTCGTTTGTCTCAGATCATTTTAAACATATAAAAATACTATATTTGGTTCTCACTTATCAACGTTAAATTAATTAGGCTACATATTTCTTTATTTAGGAATTAGGCTACATATTTAGGAAAAGTCCCACTAAAATCCTACTAACGGCAAAACCGTATTTATACTTTCTGTGATCTTAGGCGCTAAACTAGCATTTTCTAACTTTTTCTGCAAGATGGCTGAAAGGATTAGAAAATACTAGAGATTATATGCCAGAATCGAATCTGAGCGGTCACAAATTTCCAGAAATTTTTTGGGAATGGTTCATCCTAGATATATCGGCCACGTCCCTCAACATTGCGTGATCTGGTCGAACCCACGATGGGCCTGATTAATGCCCACAGAGCAGAAAGAGTAAAATAAAAAAATAGGCCCGGCCTAGAGCGGAAAATTTTGAGGGCGACAAGATTGGCCGGTATAGTATAAGAATTTAATTTAAAAACGTATTTAAATAATACCAAATATTACAATATTTGCGTATAATTAATTATTAAGTCGTCTGCATAAATATAGGCCAAAATACATGATGTAATTTTTAATTAATACGAAATGTACTATACCATGTATGTTAATTACACTGTTCTATATATAAAAACACGATTCATTTTTTTCAAATATAGAAATGTGTATTACATTTAGTACCCTTTCATTTAATAATTCGTAATAAAAGTCCATGTTAGTTGTTTAGACTACTCAGAAAAGAAGGCATTTTAAAATTATAAAATAAAGTTTATAGCCCGTGCTATAGCAGAAAAACGGTTAAATCCAGCTTTGTTTTACTTAGACAAAGCTGGATTTAACCATTTCAGAACCTTTCTAGACAAACCTTCAATGGGTATAGAAAAAAGTTGTCTGCACCCACAGGACAGGAAAAATTAACAATAATGTCCTATATTTCTATTATTTTTATTTGTTTGTTGTAATTCATTCATAGCAATCGATTTCTTTTGAATAGTTGATGACTGAATGTATATGCTGCCATTTAATAACAATAATATACTATACTGTATGAAGGATTTCAATAATGGAGATAGGCCTTGTCACTAACTTTTTGTTTAGTTATGTTTCTTCATTGGCACATCCAGAAGAGGGTCAAGGGGCCCTGGTCCCCTTTAAAGAAAAAAATAAATGAACAATAGAAAATTTTTTAAAATCTTTTCTTAATTAAAATTTTTGTTTATTGTGTCATGTCTTCTATTTCTACACTACTTATGAATTAGTAGTCACGTAAGGTGAAAATGTTATTAAATTCTCATTAACGTTTTTATTTGTTTAACTCTGTTTCTTCAGAATTAAATCTTGAGTACGCCACAGGTCCGCCATTGGACAAGCGGTCTTCGTTCCCTGAACACTGGGAGTTCGGTCGTGGCGTTAGGCGTTACAGACGTGGAGTTATCCACGTCTGTAACGCCTAAATAGGGACCAGTTTCCCCTAAAAATACCTCCTGGAAGGCATTCTGAATAAATAAACTTTAACAAACTAAAACATGAAACAAAAAATAATGTTATGTTCTTTATTTAAAACCTTATTAAATAAAGAATATAACATCACTTTTATTTATTCAATAAAATGTTTTTTAGTATAATAATATCAAGGGCAGGTCCAGAAGTATCCAAAAAGGGAAAAACTAACTGAAAAATTTAAAATATTTGAATTAAGAACCACAAGAACGTCCAAAGTGGACAAAGACATTATATAAGAACCAGTAATTTAAAGTTATATTTTAAAGAAGTGGTAAGCTTAAAAACAATATTTACTTATAAACAAACATAAATTTTAGATTTATAAGATATAGTAACTCTTAAATTGGCAAATAACGTAAATACAAAATTTACTATTATTAAGTTAAAAGTTTGAATTCGTAATGTCGAAATTATCTAAATATACAGATTTTCGGGATAATATTTTAAATAAAAACTGTAATTTTACCTGAATTTTTTTCCATTAGCGCGAGATAAAATAAAATAAGAACTTTTAATATTTTCATCATCTGATGTTTAATTCTGCCACTAGAGAAATAAGCAAATTGCTGAATAAAATGCAGTTAGCATTATTTATAGATTTAAAAGGTTTCTTTTAATAGCTACTTAACATTTATTTATTCATTCCGTGTTCATTTGTTATTGTAATCATTAGTTCTATAAATTTAGAAAATTGGCATATAAATAATCTGTAAGCGAACAAATAAAACAATATCAGTAAATCACAACCATTAACATTGTCAAGAATAAGCGATAATTCCTTCGAATTTGTTTATACTCGTATATAAAATAATTCTAAACTTTGTCAATAAAACTGATTAAAATTCTTGTTGTGATTATTTATAATATATGGTTAGACAAAATTAATTTGATTAATGGAGTCAGGCAACGCATAGGCAATCTGTCAAGGGGAAAGTGCCACTCGGGAGGACATTCTATGGGGAAACTGATCCTTAGTTAAGTGATAAGATACGTAAAGAAAACACGGAAAATTCCAAATGGTGGGTTACTCAACATGACATGGAACTTTGGCGTTTTGTTTCGAATTAACTACAGTGGTGCCTCATGTTTTGAATTTAATTCATTTCAGGAGGATATTCGAATACCGAATCGTTCGAAATACGAGGCAATTTTTCCCGTTAGAAACAATGGAAAGTGAATTAATCCATTCGCAATCCATTGTTTAGGGTCTCTAAACAATACCGATTTTGATAAAGTTAAAACAGCAAATATATATAATTTAAGGTAAAAATAATTAAATGTAAATAATAAATTAAAACACGAAAACAATAAATAAATTACATAAATACTGTAAAAAAAATGAAAATTGCATTTACCGGTCGCACACCGTGGACTTCGGCATCTTAAACATGGTCGCCAGATTCGGCACACGTGTATAATACACGTGTGCCGAATCTGGCGACCATGTACTTCGAGTTAATTTCATTTTCATCTGAATCGTCGATATTACAGCCTTCCTGTTATTTATTAGATTTTGTTCCTCCACACGCTTCTTGGATGCCATGATTAATAAGTAAAGGTGATATTGGATTGAACAGAGAGTTTGCGTATTTTTTTAGCAGTTGTCGTTACTTAATATAAAAGTGTGATTTAATTTTAACAGTTGTGAAATTTAACACATTAAATCTAATTTGAGATTTTATTCTCGATTCAGAAGCTTATTTCGAGTACAGTTCGAGTACAGTTTTCACTGCGCACGCAGTTCGAACTTTGAAGCATAGTTTGAACTCTGAAGCGAATTTTTGTCAAATTTAGCGTTCGAAATACGAGGTACCCACTGTAATAGTTTTCGTGAAGAAATATTATCAAATGAAAGCATAATTATCAGCTTTAACAGTTTCTTAAATCTCAATGAGCCCCCATGCATTTCGCTCACGAGTCAATGAAATTCGTGCGACATTTTTTTCAGTGCATTTTCGTTTAGATGGCCCGGTGGCCGCGCGCTTAACGTGACAGCATAGTATAACAAGCAGACCAGAGAAGCATAACGATCTGTCCAGAAAAAATGAGTTACTCTCTAGCAGACAACACCAAGCTGGCAAGAACAATCGCGATTCAAAAAAGGAAAACAAATGCAAATTACTACTACCAGGTAATTTATTGATGAGGAAATGTGTACTTCACCGTTTTTATTATAAATTTTGCAAAATATTTTAAATATTAATTCACAACTTTCAAAAATTTTCGACAAATGGTGCTTAAGCTATAAAGTGGGTCAACAAAATGGATGTTACTGTGTTTGAGGGACCCTCACACACAGTAACATCCATACATACAGAAAGAATCCTAGTGGTTTTATATTTCTCGACGTTTCAAGATCTCGAACCCAAAAATGTAAAAATATTGGGAGGATCATTTTTTGACCGATTGCCATACTTTTCCTCTGTTATATATAACAGAGCCGGAAAAGTAAAAAACCAAGCTTAATTATATGAAAACCCGGACTTTTACAAAAATCTTTTTTTCGATTTCATCGTACATATTTTGACATCTAAAGGCTGGTATACACGGTAAGGAAATCTTTTGAGGATTAACCGTGATTTTTTTTCTATCTATCCATTTTTAAATAAAAATAATTCTTTATACGTTGGAAGATATTTTAATAAGTTTTGTAAATTGTAAGTTTTGTTACTATGTTCGATCCAGTCAGTTATATCCGAGTTTTTTTCGTCTGTTAAGCACATCCTTTGAGGATTTCCTTACCGTGTATACCAGCCTTAACGTTGTTGTTTACCCTTTACTACCTGAGAACTTGTCAGTTTGCTTCTTCTCGAAGGCGAAAGCGACGCTTTCCCGTAATCTTTTGACCTCCCGGCTGTGATCTACCGTTTTGATATCAGAACTGATGGCTTCAAAACAAAAAATAAATATCCATCTCTATACGAGAAAGCGATGAAAATGTTAGTCCCCTTCGCAACAGCATATTTATGTGAAGCGGGATTTTCAACTATGACGGTAATAATAAATTTAGAAATCGACTTTCAATTATTAATATTTCACCGCTCCAACTCAGCTTGACTAATATATCAATACAACCCACAATTGAAAAGTTACTTGAAAAAGAGCAGAAGTAATCTTCTCATTAGCAATGTACCAAATAAACAAGAATTTTAAATTTATAATTTTTAGTAATCACAGGATTGAATGTTTTTGTTGTGTACCTGTTTATGCAATAAATTTGTTGTGTTTTTTGAATGTATTTTGTTGTGTATGCAATAAATTTGTGAATTTTTAAAATAATTTTTTACGATTTTTTGTTGTAATTTTTGTCAAGGGTTTGTTATTTATTAATAATTACAATTAAAAACAACAATAAAAATTATACTTTTAGTAAATACTATTAATTTAACTTTTTAGTAATCATAAGACTGATTTTATTATTGTGTCCTATATGCAATGTTTTGTGATATCATCATAGTTTTCTGTTATTTTTGTCAATGGTTTGTATTTATTAATAATTATAATTAAAAACAACAATAAAAATTATACTTTTAGTAAATACTATTAATTTAATTTTTTAGTAATCATAAGACTGATTTTTTTTATTGTGTCATACAGTATATGCAATGTTTTTGTGATTTTATTATGCTTTTCTATGATTTTTGTCAAAGATATAAAATAATTATAATAATTACTTATATTTACATTTAAATATTATTGTAAGTAAATGATAATAATAATTTTACAATTTACTTCTGTAGTAATTCTTTAATATCTAGTAAAAGTTTTTGTTAAAANTAAAATAATTATAATAATTACTTATATTTACATTTAAATATTATTGTAAGTAAAAGATGGTGATAATTTTACAATTTACTTCTGTAGTAATTCTTTAATATCTAGTAAAAGTTTTTTGTTAAAACACCACCAGTCCACGGGCCAAAAAAGGTTGAGAAACGCTAATATAGATGAAAAAGAAAAATAGTTAGAATGAAATTTTGCTTTTATCAAGTTTATCTGGTATAGAAGCTTTAATTTTTTTCATTATAATAATTATTTCAATTAATTTAATTAATGTCAAACAGTCAATATTTTTGTCTCAAATTTGTATTGTAAGAACATATAATACGGAGTATGGAAATTTACAAAATAAAGATTAGGCATAATGTAATAGGAAAATTAACTAGCATCACAAACTTGGCCTTATTAGGAAGCATAGATGCCAGTTTGTTCCAATAGAAAGAAATTGTTAGGTATTGTAATTTCCTCCATGAAAGAAACCAAAAACAAAAATATTGGAGCATTTGTTATATATTGATGTGATGAAACAGACTGACCCAGACATTTGTATTTCAGAACTTTCGTGTTTGCTAGCCGTTCTGGAAGGAGAAACTCCATCTTCTGAACTGACTCCCGAGTGCAAGTCCATTCTGTCCAAACGAGTGGAGATGTTCGAATATGCTGCTCAGGTAAGTCCCTTTTTCTTTCTGTAAGGCAAGAAATTTTGCCACCTGAACTCTTATGAGTAGGTTTAAAGATGATGTCAAATTATGTAATGCTAGATGAATTTGGCTGAGTCATATGTAATGCTGCTTTTTTCAAGCATTGTTTTCATGCTATAGCATAACTTGTATAATACACTAATCAGCTCAAGTGCTAATTTCAATTATGTAATGGTTTTAATAATGATATTTGATTATTTTTTTTAAAAAGTTAAATTATTACTGACAATTAAAACGAGCTGCTCAAAGGAAGGTTAAACACATATAATGTTATATGAATTAAAAATATAGCACCATAGTTACAGCAGTAAACAACTATAAGTTAATGTATAACAATTCCAGTTTAAAAATCAGAAAATGTTTGTATTGGTTCAAAAAATTTAAGGATTTCAGTCTTGAAGATGAACCTCACTCTGGATGTCTTAAAAAATGCTGAAATTGCTGCAATAGTGGAAGATAATTCAAAACTGTCTAGATAAGAAAGTGCAGAAAATCTTGAAGTGTCCTAATCATCATCAATTAGGCAATTGCACCAACTAGGAAAGATAAATAAGTGTGGAATATGGATTTCCCATGACCTTACTGAACAGAATTATCCAAATTGATTATCCATATGAATTTCACTTTTTGATAGGTAATACCAAAACCCATTTGTGGACAGAAGAGTTACTGGGGATGAGGAGTATTATATGCTAGCATAGTTTTAGTTTATTATTAAAACTTAACATTTGGTTTTAGTCACCCAAATAGTTTATAAATTAGTTATAAAACCAAAACTACACACATGTAATGACTAAAACTAAAATTCAAGAATGTGGCTGAAACTATGTTATAAACTAATGTTAGTTCTAAAAGAGTGTGTTAGGTACTGTACAAAGACTATGCCAGCTCCAGGACCAAAACATAGTCAAAATCCTGAAAAGGTATTGCTATATAAACATCTTAACTACTTGATACATTGCAATAACACACCTCCAATAGCTGTATATCATCGGGCTATACTTTGGTAATAATAATTATAAGATACTAATGAATTTAACCCTAGAGGAAAGTGTAAGGTGCTATCTCATATTAAATGGAATGAGGGTGCCAAATGCGTCTCCAGTCAGCACCGTAGTAACCGACAGTGGTTATAGTATAATGTTAAATACTGGAAAAGAATATCTGACTGGAGATCCAGGTAGCGTAACTGGCAACTCATGTGCACAGTAAGTGGCAGTTACGGGTTTGAGTCCTGCTCCGGGCCGATTCTTTTCTCTAAAATTATTTAATTAAATTATAATTATTAAATTTAATACGTATTGACACCTAACACCTCCCTCTAGGGTCAAATTCATTAGTAATTTATAATTATTACTATTAAATTATAGCCCAATGATATGCAGCAATTGGAGGTGTGTTATAGTTATTGCTATGAAGAGAATACTGCACTTTGAGTTGTTGAATCCAAATGAAACAGTTGTGGTATTGTTCGTATTGATATGAGAAATACAAAAAGTATAATTTTCAAAAAACACAAATAAAACTATTTTGTATTTTGAACAATAATTTAGCAGGTTTCAACTTCAAGACAAGTCCCTTGTAATTCTCATTGCTTGCAATACATTTATATACATTCTACATTCTTTCAAAGGAGAGAAGGCCTAACCCTAGGGCATAGTCTTTGAAAAGAAAGAATGAAGAATTTAGCTGAAGTGAGAAGGGTGAAGGAAAGAAAAGAATGATAGGAAAGTGTGAAAACATGAGATCCAGAGCAGCCATCAGATCCCGTTTATTTAAACAACCAAAGTTACAATAGAATTACAATAAAATACAATACACTTGAGAACAGCAAACAAACCTCAGCACTTTGAGGCAGGGAAAATCTTAAAACAGCCTTTGGCTTTGAGATTCACATATGTATAGTCCCTCCTACTTGGTGGGAGGATGGAAAAACAAAGAGAATGCCCCCTTGACTCCAGGGGGTAACAATTAGGAACCAACACGTATATACAGTGCACCAGAGGCTGGAAACTGATCAACAGGTACAATGCTCCTTCCAGACACAAAGGACACGAGTGACAATATAAGTTCCCACTTACCCGGTGGGGAGGATGGGATACCAGAATTACAATAAAAGTACAATACATACAATGAGGAAACAGGAAACATGCGTCAGCCCTTTGAGGTAAGGGAAAACCCTAGGACAGCCGTTGGCTTTGTATTTCCCCTAATGAAATCGTGGGAGTAGATCCCCAACCTGGTGGGGAGGATGGGGCAACAAAGATAATGTCCCCTTGGCTTCAGAGGGTAACAATGAGAAACCAATGCAAAAACGTAATGCCAGATTGTTTGAAAACAGAACGAGCGATACAATGCTTCCTCCAGACTTCAGAGGGCACAGATGACAAAACAGTAAGGTACAAAGAACAGGAATTTACAATTTACAGAGATGGAAGTGTGTGCACTGACTAACATTAAGATTTGCAGACCCACAGGTACAAATCTGGCTTTGTCACAAACCTTATGTACCAGAAATAACAAACATAACAGTTCGGGACTTTACAAGCGCGGGTTGCGTCCTTAAGCTAATCTTAGTCTACTTATGGCTAAAATAATATAACTTATATACAGATAAAGAGAGGAAGAAGAAGAGATCTAGGACAGGGTTACCCAATTGTCTTGTACGTTTCCGTTGCACATCAATCGGATCCAACTTTCTTTGTCTCAATTAATGTTCTCTCTCTCTCTCTGAACTTCTCTGCGATTTTGGGATGGTCTCTCTGAAAATGCCTCAAAGACATGAAAATTGTCTCTGTGTGTTCTTAACTCGAACCAAGAGTCTCTTCTCAACACATCTGGTCTCCTCAGAATCTACCCAAAAAGTGCTTAACTTGTCCCTGCTTTCCCTTCAGGGCCTTTCCTCCTCTATTGTTCTTACTGTCCCCACCCTATCCTGGAAGGGTTCCATCCGATTATCGTGAAAGAATGAAAAGAAAATATAATAAAATTCTATATACTATACAAATGATATGGCAAACAGCCACACAGTAAATACTACTGTCAGTAATCAGAAAAACTTTGTTAAAAAATCTCCAAGAAAAATATCCACATCTGGCAAATGGGAAAGACAGAATAAGTACTGCTCTGATGACTTATTTCTGTGGAGAATGCCTTATTTGACAATGATCTGGATATGTTAGAGCAGTGTTTTTTGACCTTTGACCCCTTTTGATCTTAATACTTTAACATCCCATAATAGCAACTCGGGAAAATTTAAAACTAAACAATAAAAATTTAACAGTTTATTAAATATTACAAAATGTATTTTTAATTAAAATAATTATAGCTTATTTCTTAATGACTATATATACTGCACATTCATTTTTAAAAACAAAAAGTAATAAATTGACATTCACTTTATTTGCCTTAGTCTGGCCACATCAGTGTTGTCAGACATGTGACAACTAAAATTAGCAGATGTAATCATAAATTTTTGGTAAATTGAATTGATTGAAATGCAAACCCTTAAATCTCTCCACACACAGAAAAATGGACTTTCACCACTTCATAATAAACAATCCATATATGAGTTATCAAATATACAGTTTTGAATTGTAAAGGATATTGTTAACATTAAATTATGAAATTTTCAAATTCAAAAATGTTTGTAAGGTCTGTCCCATAAAATTAGAGCCACTTTAAAAAATATATACAAGGTCTGTTCAAAAAGTATCGGACCTTTGGTCGGCAAAAATAAATTTATTGACTTTGAGGAACAAAACCCTAATCCCCTTCAAAGTAGTCTCCTTGGTAATGTATACACTTCTCCCAGCGTTTCTGCCATTGCTGGAAACACTGCTGGAACGCATCTTTTGGAATGGTTATCAGCCGGTCCGTCGCATTTCGCACGATGTCTTCTCTCGACTAAATTTGGGTTCCTTTTAGCGGCATTTTCAGCTTGAGAAATAGCCAAAGGTCACATGGAGCCATGTGGAGAGAATACGGAGCGTGACGAACCACAGGAGTATTGTGTTTGGCGACGAAAGCCCGAATCAGATGCGCAGAATGGGCGGATGCGTTATCACGATGGAGCTGCCAAGTTTTGATCGACCACAGATCCCATCGTTTGCATTGCACTGTATCGGAAAGACGACGAAGGACCTCCTGGTAGTACTCCTTTGCGATGGTTTGGCCTTGTGGTGCGTACTCACGACACACCACCCCACGAGAGTCGAAAAAACTGTCAACACGACCTTTGATATTGCTGCGGACCTGCCGCGCTTTTTTTGGCCTCGAGGATCGTCCCCGAAAGCCCTCTGAATCTTGCGAATGGTTTACGCTCGGGTATCGCCAAGGTTTTTGGCAAAATTTGATGTAATATCGCTGCTCACGTTGTTCAGTCATTTTCCAGCTTAGTGAAATCCGACGAGAGCGCACTACATGACCTCACTCATACGCCGATTGCCAACGACTGACGCTTTCTGCAGGCGGGAAAAAATTCAGGGCTGTGCATGACTGTCCCCTCCACAACTCCACCGAAGGAGGCTTCTCTCGCATCATTGGTTTACGCGGAAAAAAATAAGGTCCGATACTTTTTGAACAGACCTTGTATGTTTTCTACATAAAACTTTTATTCCGATGCTTTCACTTAAACATAAAGCAAATGTAATTTATTAAATTTTTGCTATTATTTTTGTTAATGTAATGGAAAATTTAAAATGAAAACTTAAAATTCTTTGTCCCAGGCACTTAAAATTAAAAACAAATTAAATTAATGCTTCAATTTAATAACTAGTTTGCTTTCCATTTTTGTTAATTACTTTAGAAATTTAGTTTGACGTTGATTTGATCAACAGTACACAGAATTCCATTGAAATTTTATTCCATTTCTGCTGTATAGCTTCTTTCAGGTCCTCAAAAGATAAATACTTCTCTCCACGAGCATAAACTGATCTTGACAAGATAGCAGAGGTATTTTCCATTGAATTTCAGCCTGGAGAACAAAGCAAGCCAATCTAACACTGGGACTCCATTACTAAAAAAGTGTTCAAAAGTGGATTTTGCAGAATGCACAGCTGGATTATTTTGTTGAAAATAAAAGTGGGAGTCATTCAGATTTTCAATAAATGTTGATGATCTGCTTTCATGCAGCTGTTAACGAAATTGTATTGCGTAATTGACATCTTTCTATAGTGTTGGGAAAATTCGATGTAACATCTATCTTAGACTGGCCCCCTAAATATTGTATAGTGTATGTTGTGTATATATATACAGTAGACATGCAACACAAATAATGTAATCTTTTTTTATCTGCTATTTGATTTAGTTATGCAAAACAAACAAACTGCTGCATTACGCGAAAATAAAATGTTTATAGGAACATACAGTGACCAGGAAATTGCCTGAGTGTAGTAAAACACGAGAAGTTATTTTCGAGTTTTACCACACTCCGTATTTCCGGATATATTTTCGAGAAAATTGCATACTCCCAAAATAAAATGGACATTCCAGTGGAAATAAAAATATTTATCTTTGGAATGTGACAGCTACCAGCTTCTGTCGAGTGTGTGTTTTATTTTTATGTAGGTAGGCGAAAGGTAGTCCGGAGTGTTACCGGTAACCTAACAATCCAGAACTTCCGTTTCGATCGTTAGTACTGGAAGAAATTGTATTTTGCAGGTGGCGCCGGCCGAGACCATCGAAGAGTTGGTGCGCCAGGTGGCCAGTTCTCCGGCCAGGAACTACTTCGCCGTGGTGGCCATGGGTCTGCTGGGAATCATCTTCGTCGGAGGTCTGTTCTGCGGTCGAGTCACCAAGAGAGTGCCCTTCGGAGTCAAGAACAAGTAGAGGCTACATCTCCTATTTATTGCGCAATCTCCGAGATTCTCCGCCTTTCAGTGGTGGAGAACGTCACCCTTTATTTTTTATAAACCGAAGAGAGTGCCGCTCCGCTCTCTTCGCTCTCTCTCTGTATCTGGCTCCCGCTCCTGCTCCTGCTCCTCCTCTTCGGCTCGGTCCCGGCCGCCCGGTGGTCGGGACCCAGGCGAGAGGCTGTCGTCTGGGGAGGGCGGAGGCAGCGGACGCGAACCGGGAAGCTCCGGCGACTTCCCGCTCCGAGCTTTTCCGTTATAAAATAAAAAAAATGTCGCCGTCCGTCTGTGTCTTTTTCTTCTAAATTTTAAGAGCGTCGACACCTGCATCCTTCTGTACCCAATTTGCCGGTCGCAGTTGTTAAGGAAAGTTTCGGATCCCTTAACTGGAACTTTGCCACTGATACTTTTCCTCCAAACTTATTTGTACATGTTTATTACTACAAAATGAGGTACAGTACGTACTTCACAAAAACTAATAACGAGTTTGGACCGAAAGTATAGTATAAATCACGAAAATAAAATAAATCGTCGGGCATGTTTAATGCGTGTAAAGCTCCTAGTGTGTAACACCTCATATCACAACTCTAAGATAAAGCCCCTGCTCCGCCAAATGGCACACTTGCCAGAGTACAAAGAGACTATTTTAATCGACAGCAGGCACCGAGTAATCACTGCAGTGTCTGAACAATTAAAACCGGACTGAGGTAAATGCTCGGGCTCTAGCAGTACAACCCAATGAGGACTATGCTTCGCTCTTGAGTCCTATCCTCTTGCTACAAGATAGAATTTTGGTGCAGTTTGCTTTGCGCTTTGACTCCTCTACCAAAGAGAGATCATGATTGCATGGTCATTTAAGACGACGGGGCTGTCTAGCCTCGATACGTCGCCTAATACAGTCAGCAGGGGTTCCCTCTTCTCGAAAGAAATTTACGACATATTGTATCTGCAATTCATCAAGCTGGTCGTAACCCTATTTACTATTTCCGACAAAATAGCGGTGATTCTATTTCGAATACCGTTTCGTCCAATAGGAATACAGTCAGGAACTGGCACTGTCTGGGACGTGAGTTTCGGTTATAAAGTAGAAGACAGAAAAAGGTGTCATTTTACTTCCGAAATAGAGGGGTAAGATTGCGGACGTTAAGGGTGGATGGACACGTATGGCGCGGCAGAATGATGTCACTTTTATCGCCGCAGAAGTCGATTTTGGACAGATTTTCTCGTGTGCCGCGAACTTCGGTGGAATTTGTCTTTTGCGGCGGCCACCGCGAGACGCATTTCTATAGGTCGATAACGGTTGTTTTGTGAATCGACGTAGAACTACGTGGTTTAATGGCGGGAAGTTGGACGGGTTCGACCAACGTTAGAATAACGAGGAAAAGAGAATAAATTTAACGTAAATTCTACAAAAATAATCGCATATGATTTAATTCGAAGGACAATACAAACCAATCTTACACGAAATAGTACTCTTTATCGAGGAATAAGTGTATTTTGCACGCCGATTCTTTCCCGATTTGGGCCCACCAGTGGCCGACGGTCTTCGTACCCTGAACACCGGGAGTTCGGTTGTGGGTTGGCGCCGGGCTGGCCACGTGCAGTTTTCTCCACGTATGTAACGCCTAAATAGGGGCCAGTTTCCTTTAAAAGACATCCCGGAAAGCATCCCCTAGGTAGATCGCCCAAGTGTTGCGTTGCCATAACTTAACAAACATACTAACTTTCCCGATTTGAGAAAATTTCTCTATTCCAAAATCATCGAAATCTTCCAGCTAAATAAAGTCGGCTGTACGAAACGAAATTTGTAAACAAATGAATCTGCAGCGTTTCCCGTCTCGAATACCCTATGCGTGCGCTGAAATTAAGCGGATTGCCGCTTTGCCTGGCCACAAGTGTGCATCCACCCTAAAGCCTGGTACTCACATGCGGAAATGGACAACGGAAACCGTAGACAGGACGGCAAAATGACGTCACTTTTGTCGTCGAAGCCTACAGAATACGAAGTTGAAAATTTTCAAATTTTCCGTCGCGGAAAGCGGAACGGTATAAATTCGGCCAATAGGAAGGCCGTCATAAAGATCACGTGGGACGATAACATTCGAACTATGGCGGTCGGCCAGGCTAAAAAGCTTTATTAATACGCTATATTACTATCCGGTTTAAATATTAATGTCGAATAGACGTACTGTATACTTACTGCGTAAAGTTTTGGGAATGGCGTAATCGTAATTTGGTTACGAAAGTATTCGATGTTCCTAACTTTCAACGATTTAGAATATTTTTCCTATCCAAATTATTGGTTTTTGTGGTTTTTTTATTTAAAACTTAGATAGTTTAATTGATATAACAAAGCAATTCCATTGTGCTCTACGTTCTATTGACTACATAGCTGAAATAATGAAAGCACACGGGCGTGGAAGTATGTTGAAACATATAAAACTAGCTGTTGCCCGCGACTTGGTCCGGTTTTGCAAGCAAACCCTATTTATACTCAGTATTTCGACAACCATAGTAATTGTTATACAGGGTGTATCAGAATGACGTTTTAAAAATTTGGAGGATTGTAGAGGATGAAATTTTGAACGTTTTAAGGAACCTATAGCCGGAAATGTGACACCGGAAAAGTTTCTGCAGCACTTTGCAGGTTCTATGCGGTCGGTATGCGCAATGGCATTCCCTCGAGCTTCACCATAACACTAATGCATATCAGCAAGTTCTCCAAATGTATAGTTACCCTCCATGACGCCAGAACGTATCCACAGTACGTGAAACACGATAAGCAGACAACTGTACAGTACATTGACTCGCGTTGACTAGGTGTGTGTTTACAGCACAGCGCCAGTGGATGCAAAGGGTGACCCGAAGAACGACAAGCACTAAGTACACAACGTCCTATACACAAGCTCAGTTAGACCACTGTAGTTGTCTGTTTACAGTCTTCCATCCGCAGCAATAGCGTGACGTCAATGGACGGAAGGGTAGCTACCAAAGTGAATGGCGGTGAAGCACTTCCTACCGCTGTAGATTCTTTAGGTCAAATTTCCGGCTATAGGTTCCTTATATCAAAACGTTAAAAATTTCATCCTTGGCGCCGACTATTCATAGTTTAATTGTTCTTTTGTTCAACCCCACAGACCACGTGCTACGGGAGGTTTTTACTCTCGTATTCCCTTCGTGTTGTCTGATGCTTGAATATAAATTTTCTAATTCGTCTTGATTCAATGATGTTGTAAACAAGTACTTAACTAGAAGTATTGGTTTGTTTCCTGGATTGGCGACCGCCTACCGAATGCCGAACGTCCGTCGAATTTTACCACCATTGTACGTCACCACGTCCCTATTTCCGATTTTGCTCTTAAGCCCGGGACTGACGTGCGAAAACGGACGATGGAATACAAAGTGGAAAATTTTTGACTTTGAGGCGTAAATCGGAAGGGAAAAATTAGACCGATAGGAAATCCGTTTAGCGACGATGCGGTAAAAATCACGTCCCCTGGAGAAATAATGCAGTCAAAAATTTCTTTTCCTAATACTTTAAAACGCCCACATTTAGCCAAAATATGTCAGGCATCAACAATTTGTTTCTCTACACAGAAGTTGCACAATTCTCTCGAATAATTATTTTAAAAATTCAATGAATTACACCTAGCCTATAAAAAGAAATAAGTTAGTAATGAAGACGCAGCACTGACAGATGCTCCCCGATTTGCAGCAATATAGAGTTGGCCGTGTGAAAAGCACCTGCATCCCAGGTCAAGTCTTGCAACTCTCGGGCTTCGGCCTTGAGACTTGTTAATGGTCATTGAAAGACATAGACCAGTGTTTCTCAACTGGGGCGATATCGCCCCCATGTGGGCGTTTTTCCATGTTCAGGGGGAGATTAGTAACAATTTATATTTTTGGGGCGAAAAACAGTTTTCTGAGCGATGTAGTAAAACATTATATTAAGAATAATTAGATTTTATTCGTTATATCGTACAATAATAAGCAAATAACATTATACTAGTCAATAGCAGAGCCGGCCCTACCATAGGGCGAACGGAGCAGCCGCTCCAGGCGCTAAGTCCTAGGGGCGCCTCAATGGTAAAGAAAATTAATTAAAGGGAAAAATATTTTTCACTTTTCGATATTTTAATTGCAAGCGTGTGGTCAGTATGTGAATGGCCTTATCTGTTGAGACGCGCGTGGGCGGGATTCCACCTAGGGTTGCCACCTTTTTAAAATCGCCGACCCGGACGGCGGGTGAGGTTTATTCGAACAGAAGTTCCTGACGTATGCGTGTCATTTTGCAATGCAAAGAATAATGTGCAGTGCATGCTGATTGTAAATCAGATATCTTGCTGGAATTAGCCAAAGATATCAACAGGTATGCCATCGTTTGGGTCAGGGGTCATGCTGGTGTTTCACGATGGCCGGCCCTTCATTAATCTATATGAGTTATACAGAGACTCGTGTAAGAGAGGTTGCAGCCGAAGTTTTCATCTCTAAAACGTTTACGTTAGTACCAGTCAGACGTGAAAGTCAGGATTTCTGTTTGAACAATGAAAACACAAAAAATTATCAGTAGCAAACAACCAAATTTGTACTACAATTCGTATAGAGCAAATTGGTCATTTTTTAAAAAATCTTAATTATTGATACTTTTATTATTAATTTAAAAATTCGCAAAATTAACAAATCCAGATCAAGCCTAGCATGGCGTTTATCAGCTTCATCAAGAATTGAAAAAAAAAAAAAAAACTTAATATTTAAACAATTAGCAAAAGTACTATTTTTAACAGAGAAATCCCGATTAAGGTGCTTATACTTATTAGATAAGCATCTATAATAAATTCACACATTAATTAAAGACAAATGTTTCGTTTAGAAAATGCTTAGGTATTTGTTATTTGCACAAGAAGTCAGAACAAATCCGTTACCTGTTGTTACATGGAAATGTTAGTTTCTTAACTGTAAAACTCTGAAACTTCAAAAATTGATGCTGTCGGGTGTTCTTGGTTTGTAGAAAATTCTATTTCCAGAATTATCATAAAATTTTCTCACTTAAGCCACAAAACCACGTCAAGGTGACACCCACTTTGTGGTGGTTTTTTTTGTTTCCAGAAACCAACCCTACTTGCTAGACAGCGTAGCAAGTAGAGAGAAAAACTGGATCGCGCGCCAAGTTCTTATAGGTAAAACGACCAATAATGACTTTTGTCATTCTCTTTGCTCGTCCTCTACCCATTCCAATCCAAAAAAT